GAGTGCGGTTCGCCTAGGTTGGAATGCGTAGACTTTTCGGTTTCGTGACTTTAGTGCGGTTTGCCTATGTTGGAATGCGTAGATTCTCTGGCATGAGTGTGGTTCGCCTGTGTTGGAATGCATAGACTCTGCAGTGTCGTCAGTATTACTGATTGCCTGCAATGCTTCAACAGCAACACATGAGCGCTTGCACCTGTTCAGCTTTGCTTAGCAAGTGTCTGAGAAGAAGTCCGAGTGCCTGTTGTGAGAATTAGTGAGCCCGATAGGGCTTGTGTGTGTCCAGCGACCTGGGTGTCTGCGTACACAGCTGGCGTGCCCCTAGTTTGTGTTGTGTGGACAAAACCAGGTTTTTCTCAGGTTCAGGTGACAAACCAAATGCTCCTTGTTTTTGCATGGTTGCCCCAATCTGCATGACTTCAGAGGTGATCTTGCAAGCGCTTTCAGTCATCTGTCTTGCAATGGGCCTGGAGACCTGTAACCTAGAGTGACAGCTTGCGCGCTTTCAGTCATCTGTCTTGCAATGAGCCTGGAGACCCGTAACCTAGAGTGACGGTTTGTCTGCTTTCAGTCATCTGTCTTGCGATGTGCCTGGAGTTCCGTAACCTAGAACTTGAAATCTCTGAGCTGACTTATCAAGCTGGCTTCTCGAGCTGACTTGAGACTTGTGACACATTGTGTCAAGTGAGTGCACAGTCTGTGACATCCAGCTATGTCTGCGACATGTTCCAGTGGCATGTGCGTCATGCACAGTTTGTGATATTCAGCTAGGTTCCAGTGGCATGTGCGTCATGCGCAGTGTGTGACGTTCAGCTATGTTCCAGTGGCATGTGCCATGAATGAGTCTGCTATGTGCCAGTTGCATGTGCATCTAACTGACGCGTGACATGAGTGCGGTTTGCCTATGTTGGAATGCGTAGACTTCAGTTTCGTGACATGAGTGCGGTTCGCCTATGTTGGAACGCGTAGACTCCGCAGTTTTGTGACATGAGTGCAGGTTGCTTGTATTGGAATGCATAGACTCTCTGACATGAATGTGGTTCGCCTATGTTGGCATGCGTAGACTCTGCGGTTTCGTAGATTTTCCGCTTTCAGACGCTGGCATTTGTATGTCAACCGGTGTTTCGAGCGGCTACAATGTGCCCGGCAGGGCTTGTGTGTGTCCAACCCTGTTTCAACGGGTATGCAAATCTGAATCGAACGAGCAGGGGCGAGGGCCTGTTGTCTGGCTTCAGTATTTTAGAGAGTGTTTCTGAAGAGCATGTGCCGTGAATGAGTCTGTGACATGTTCCAGGGCATGTGCGACATGTTCCAGTGGCATGTGCAGTGAATGAGTCTGTGACACGCAACTGTTCCGGTGGCGACATGTTCCAGTGGCATGTACATCATGCAAAGTTTTTGACATTCAGCTATGTTCCAGTGACACGTGCGGTGAATGAGCCTGTGACATGTTCAGTGGAATGTGCGCTGACTGAGAATGATTTGTCAAGTGAGGTGTGGCAACTTCATGCTATTGGTTCACAGCATAAAAATCGGTGAGTGAGTGCATGCCTACATGCTGTCGGAGTGCGCATCTCGCTGCTTTACTGCATCGCAAGTGTCGTGCTAGTGCAAGCTTGAAAACGTTTTTCTTCCTTGGTGAGTGAGTGCATGCCTACATGCTTTCGGAGTGCGCATCTCTCTGCCTTACTGCATCGCTTGCTTGTAGCGTTTTGTTTGTGCAGAAGCGAAGCTGGTGGAACGAGCTGTGGTATTGGAGCTGCTGGTGGTGGAGCTTTGGTTTCTGGTGGTCTGGTGGCGATCTGGACAAGTGAGTGCGCATTGTCATGCAAGTGCTGTGCAAGTGATTGCATCGTCATGCATGTGCTATGTACGTGAGTGCTTCCTGTCAGTAAGTTCGAAAGAGCAATGAGCCCGGGAGGGCTTGTGTGTGTCCACCCCTGTTTCGAAGGGTAGGTAAATCTGAGTCGAATGAGCAGGGGGCCGGTGCTCTCCCTGGGGGTCACCGGCCAACGAAGACACCCCCAGGGAGGGGTGCAAACGTACCTGCAAATCAGTAACCCTAGAGCAAGATTCGTACGAGCTTCTGATTGCATGTTCTGACTTTCCCTTGCAGCTTCTGACTTTCCCTGACAGCTGCTGACTTTCCTTGACAGTATGCACCGACAGATCAGACCTGCGACACGATGTGTCAAGTGTGTGTGTTTCTGTTCCCCGGCTACGAAACTAAAGACACAAGGTTCGGAATTCAGGGTGTAGTGTTCAGTTCATCTTGCCAGGTGTCGCCAGCCAGACTTGGTTTAGCATCCCCAGCAAGGCTTCGAACTTCGGCTTCATGTCGATTACCTTGGAAGTTGGGCTGCTTAGCGGCAAAACAGCCACTGTGAAAGCAGACTTCCATGAAGAACTGGCAACGCTGAAGCGTCGGGCAGAGACCGCCCTCGGAGTTGGAAGAGGGCGGCTCGTGGGCTCATCTGGAAGCCTTCTGGATGCACGTGCAACGGTAAAGCATGCCAGGCTGCAAGATGGTGATTCTCTCACCTTGCATATGAACAGAATTCAAGCTCAAGCTAGTCGGGGAGCTTTTGCTACCGTCCTTGGGGATGGAACCGTCGTGACCTGGGGCTCTGCGCAGTATGGTGGCGACAGCAGTGCTGTGCAGGATCAGTTGAATAACGTGCAGCAGATCCAAGCCTCTGCTAGCGCTTTTGCTGCCATTCTTGGCGATGGATCCGTCGTCGCCTGGGGTCAGGCTCAGTTTGGTGGTGACAGCAGCGCTGTGCAGGAACAACTGATGAATGTGCAGCAGATCCAAGCCACTTGCGCTGCTTTTGCCGCCATTCTCGCAGATGGTACCGTTGTCGCATGGGGTGGTGCTGAACTTGGTGGCGACAGTAGCGCTGTGCAGGACCAACTGCAGAAGGTGCAGCAGATCCAAGCCTCTGACGGTGCTTTCGCTGCCATTCTTGGTGATGGATCTGTCGTCACCTGGGGTGATGCTGACCGTGGTGGTGACAATAGCATTGTGCAGGATCAGCTGAAGGACGTGCAGCAGATCCAAGCCTCTGCTTTCGCTTTTGCCGCTATGCTTGGCGATGGGTCTGTCGTCACCTGGGGTGGTGCCGGGGACAATACTGTCGTGCGGGAGCAAGTGAAGAAAGTGCAGCAGATCCAAGCCGCCAGAACCATTTTTGTTGGAGGTGCATTCGCTGCCATTCTTGGCGATGGATCGGTCGCCACCTGGGGTCATGCTGCGCTTGGTGGCGACAGTAGTTCTGTGCAGGACCAACTGAAGAAGGTGCAGCAGATCCAAGCCTCTGACGGTGCTTTCGCTGCCATTCTTGGCGATGGCTCTGTCGTGACTTGGGGTCACGCAGACTTTGGCGGCAACAGTGGGGCTGTGCAGGACCAGCTGAAGAATGTGCAGCAGATCCAAGCCTCTGACAATGCTTTTGCTGCCATTCTTCGCGATGGCTCTGTCGTGACCTGGGGTCATGCAGAGTTTGGTGGCGACAGTAGGGCTGTGCAGGACCAGCTGAAGAACGTGCAGCAGATCCAAGCCTCCGTTAGCGCTTTTGCTGCCATGCTTGGTGATAGATCAGTCGTCACCTGGGGTCATGCTGAAGGTGGTGGTGACAGTAGTGCTGTGCAGGATCAGCTGAAGAATGTGCAGCAGATCCAAGCCTCTGCTCGCGCTTTTGCTGCCATTCTTCGCGATGGATCGGTCGTCACCTGGGGTCGTCATGACTGTGGTGGTGACAGTAGTGCTTTGCAGGAGCGTCTGAAACCTGTTTTACACGGTCTCAATGCTTTGACGGTGGAACAGAACAAGACCTGCACAAGTGTTTGGAGTAGTGCAGAGCTCTCAATTCCAACCCACTTTGGGAGGGTTTAGTGTTCATATATCAGCCTGAGACTACTTTTGTTTTTGATTCACGTACCGGTTCGAGGCAATGGATCCAAGGCTGCATGACTTCAGATTTGTTTTCTTCTTCTTCTTCTTCTTCTTGGCTTCATCGTTCATCCAAACAGGCGCCTGATCACCATCTTATAAATTCCATCGGCAATCTCTCGTGAGAAGCTCCTTTGAAACTCGAAAAGACAAGCTAAGCCCCATACAAGAAAACCAGAGCATCTCCGAAGCGAAACCACGGTTCTGCTTCGGCCGAATACTGGGTAGTGATTTTGGATAATTGTTCATTTCCCTTAGTGTTGCATATAGAACCCGAATTATGCACAGTTTTGATAATGTTAACAGCGACGCATTCTATAGGGTCTATTCAAGTTTATTCCGGGTGCAAGTTTCTTCAATGAAGGAAGATTAGGCCCACGCGTGCGGCTAACAACAAGGAGTTTGCGGTGTGCGGGCATAGTTTGTATGAGGGTACTATGTGGTTACGAAAAGTTTACCAGAATGGCAGTAAACTGTTCATGTAAGGGCTACTAAAAGTTCACTATAGAAAAGTACTATAAATCAGGATACTATTATTGCTTTGGTACTATAAGGTCTTTTTGCGTAATTAATGTGAGGGCGCAGGGGCAGTCGACCCTCCGCTGTCTGTCTGTTTAGAACTCACAGGGTTCTTAGGCTGAGGTGAAGTGTAGGAAATCTAAAGCGCCAGGTGTTGTTTTAAAGCGTGAAAACTTGCAGAGAATTAAGAAGGCTGTGGGTGAAGGGACTGAGTCAATGGTGCGGCAATAGGGACCCTCCCAACACCTTTAAATCGGGTATGCGGCTCGGCAATAATAGGTAATTATTCATTAGAAGCTGCCCCCGCCCTGTAATAGTGACAAGAAGGATTATATTAGGGCCCCATTATATTCTTATTCTACCACTATTACAGGGTGGGGGCAGCTTCTAAATTATTCAGCACGAACACATGAACTACTATTTGCTTAAGAACACCAAAAAAATAAAAAATATATTCCTTATGGGGGTCATATAGGGATTATTATTTTTATTTTTTGGGTGGTTTCTTAAGCAAATAGTAGTGAAGCCTCAGGAACCTGGATGCAGCAAGACCTCGCCGCCACACAGGAGACCTGCAGGGCCGTTCCGTCAGGAACATCCCCAAACGACATGGGAGTTTCCGAAAATTACTGGGGACCGTAATATAGCACGCCAAATAGTAGAATCCTTATATTATACGGGCCCCAGAACAAGGTACCCCGAACTTTCCCCGAAACTCCCACCCAAAATTAGAAAGGTCAGGCTCAGGCTTGGTGATCGCAATGCTCGTGCATCTTGCTTAGGTTGAAAACGTTTAGGGGTTTAGGTTGTTTGGTTGGTTTAGGGTTTAGTTCAGGGTTCAGGGAGTTTAGGGGTTTGGAGAGTTTAGGGGTTTAGGGGTTTAGGGGGTTTTAGGTGTGGATGGGGCGGGGACGAAACTCAGAGACAACAAGCCAAACCTGTCTCTTGTGCACCAAGCCGCCGTTCAAATCCACGTAGGCCAAGGCCGACACTTGCGAATAACATGCCCTTGAAATCCCTTGTACAATTCTGTTGTCATATGCGTTTATGTAAACGTAAACCCTAAGAACTAACCATAGTTTGTTTGAAAAACTTATGCCCTAAGAACTAACCATTGATATTGGAGGAGCTCAGGAGCCAGGGATGATGATAATCCCAATCAAATAAGGAGCTAAGGAGCCAAGGGAACCCCCAAACCACTGGCTAGCGAATCATTGAGGCCCCCAAGCAGCCCCAAACCGACACTCTGCGTGTGAGGATTCCGGCTTGGAGCTCTCCAAGCGGCGGGGCGATGATTTCTGCCTCGAGGACATGTCGGGTTCAGGATTTGGGTTTAGGGTTTAGGGTTTAGAGTTTAGGGTCGAGGGTAGGGTTTACGGTTTAGGGTTTCGAGTTCACACGGGTCTTTTCAATTTTTGGTTGCCGCTCACAAAAGGTTTATCGTTACATAGGTTGTTTGGGCTGGTTTTGCTGTGTCTGGAACACGGGTTTGGGGTGTTGGACGGTTCAACTACATGAGGGCTATAAGGGAACCCTACCTGGACCCTAAACCCCAAACTCAAAACTTAAGCACTAAAACTGAAACCCTAAGAGGACTGCAGCATCGGATGGACCGATGGCGACCGCTTCGGTGGCGTGCGCAGCCTGAACCTGCGCGTGACTCCCGGCGAGCTCTTGCACCGTGGCATGAAGGTTTTCGGGTTTAGGGGTTTTGGATCTTCGTAGGTGTTTTGGATTCAAGGTTCGTGGGTTCAGGTTTAGGGCTTTCGGGTTCAGTGTTTTGGTTTTACGGCCCTGTGCGGTTTTGGGGTTTAGGGTTCAGGGGGGTTTAGGGTTCAGAAGTAGGAGCTTAATGAGCTTTGGTTTGGGCATCCTACAAGACTAACTACCTTTGGGGCTTTGAGGACTCATGTATTAAGGCTTTCGGGCCCAAAGATCGCAATATGTAAAGCTTTTGGGCCATTTTGATTTCCAGGGCAACAGAGAAGCCTGAGTAGTTCCAATTACTAGTTTCTAGGGATGATATACCCCATCCCCTATTTTAACTAAGCCCTCATAGTAATGCTTTTAGAACCCTTTCTTAAGGACAACGACCCATATGCGTTCTCGTGTCCACTCCCTTTCTCGTCTTTGCCCGTCAATTCCAAAATCTAAAACCTCAACCCTTAACCCCTTGCCGAAGTGGACATGCCCATCCCAGTTCCATCCAATGACTCCAGCAGAAAATCGGCAAGCACCAGTCATCCCAAGCCCAAGAGCCCCCCCCCCCCCCCCAACCCCTGAGGCTCATCTCTGGCCCTGTTGGGTCTGGCAAGACGCTTCTCTTGGAAGGCAGGGTTGAGTATTGGAGGTTTGAGAGGACCCTAAAACCCGAAGCCCTAATCCCACAACTCTAAACCCTAAACCCTAGACCCTAAACCTTAAACCCTAAACCCTAAACCCTAAACCCTGAACCCTAAACCCTAAACTGAAGCGAGCTGCGGGCGCTGCGAATAGCAGCAGCGAGCGTGCCGAAGCGTCAGGGAGGCTGGCTCCGGAGCTGCGCGACAGGCGCAGCGGAGGAGCCCCAGCACCGGCTCATGGCCCTGGCCCCTGGCCCTGGGCCTGGGCCCTGGCCCTGGCCCTGGCCTGGCCCTGGCCCTGGCCCTCGCCCTGGCCCTGGCCCTGACCTGCCCATGCACCTGCCCTGCTCTGCCTACCCTGCCTGATCTGTCTGCTGCCCTGCCCCTGCCCTGCCCTGCCCTGCCCTTCCCTACCCTGCCCTGCCCTGGTTTGCTCTGCTCTGCGCTGCCCTGCCTGTGCCCTTTGCCAGACCAAGCCACAAACCTTGGATTTCGGCCTTGGCCTTAAGCCTTCATTTTGTGCCCCCGCCAGACCAAGCCACAAACCTTGATTTTGGGCACCCGCCAGACCAAGCCACAAACCTTGGTTTTGGGCCCCCGCCAGACCGAGCCACAAACCTTGATTTTGGGCCCTCGCCAGACCAAGCCCAAGCCACAAACCTTGATTTTGGGCCCCCGCCAGACCAAGCCACAAACCTTGATTTTGGGCCTCGCCAGACCAAGCCACAAACACCAAGCGACAAACCTTGGAGCGTTGAACCTAGGCGCACACCACAACACACGTCTCGCGTGGTGGTGTGCGCGGAGCATCGACACACCCTAGACTCTAGACCCTAAACCCTGAACCCGAAGCCCGAAGCCCTAAACCCACAACCAACCCACCCCATGAAGCCAAGGTTCACTCGAAAGCTCGAGAGGTAGGGAGCCGTACCCCACCTCGTCGAGTCGCAGTTTGTTGGTAAATCCTTGGTCCGAAAGCCGAACAGGGCTCCTTTAAGGGTTCCTTAAGGGGATCTACTAGGGTTCTATAAAGGGCTTTAGGGTGTAGAGTTTCCGAAATCAGGGGTCCCCTTATTTGGGTACCCTAAATAGAAGGTGCCGTACTATAATAAGGACAGAAGATGGGACCCTAATTTTTGACAACCACCCACTTATGTACTCTGAAGTGGGGTTCAGGGTTTGGCCCGTCGAAATTTTCGAGAATACAGCGCTAGTGTAGAATAGAAAACCGCCCCTCTTGTGGCTCGGGCGCAGGCCTTGCGGGCACGAGGACGACAGAATCAGGCTGGGTCTTTGCTGCGGAGGGCTGTCGGCGAGAATCCAATCGATATGTAGCTTGATGTAACAATGGGGCCTCAATAAATGCTGCTTGTATTCCTAGGTTTCCTTATTCTTTCTCGCCACGGTGACTTTGAAAAGACTCTTTTTCTTTGAGGACTTGCCTATTCTCACAATGGCTTTGAAAGGCCCCTCATACTTTAAGGACCTTCATGTTACGGTGCCCCCTTCTTAGGGATTTGCAGAAATAACACCCCTTTCTTTCAGGAACTGCATGTTACGACCTCTCCCGTCAGGGAAGCCAGGGGTCTACTTGAACTTCTGATGCTACTGGTTCTAAGCCGGGGAGTTTAGTAAGTGCTTATTTTACAAGCTTATATGCATCATAGCCCCATTTAGGATCCCTTTTAGGGTACATATAAGTCTACTCATTAGTGTACCAACTTACTACGTTCGATGATACAAATCCTGCATTACCTTAATGATTAATGACCCTAGACTATGGGAATTATGGTATATACCTTATTATGGGTAATTCAGGGTTTATACATCATCAACCAAAAACCCTAAACCCCCTATAGATCCCTTAAAGGAACCCCTTCAAGGTACCCTTATAGAAAGGAACCCCAGGATTTATATTGTCATGGGTAATGCAGGATTTAAGAAGCGCTCCAGTTCTCACTCCGGAAGGCGTTTGCCAGCGCGCGGGCAGCTCGGCTTGGTCCGGGCTTCTGGGAGTCTGGGAGTTGGAATGCCCATGCCCCTAAACTCGTCACCCATCACCCCCAAAACCCTAAACCCTAAACCCCAAAACAGTGTATAAATGTCCCGCCAAGAAGCTTAAACAGCCTTAGCCCTGATTTTTTTAGAGAAGCCGAGGGCGCAGCACAGCCTTCGTGGCACAGCGACCCTGGCAACCTGCTGCAGATTCGGCCTGCTGTTTGTAATAAGATCTAAGTTATCCGATAGTAACAAGAGTAATACGATCATTACCCCACTCCTTGCTGGTAGGTAGTGGATGACGGATGATGAAGGTTTAGGGCTTTGGCTTCAGGGCTTTGGGTTTAGTGTTTGAGTTTGGGGGGTCTCGAGTTTAGGGCATTGTCTTTGCGTGTGCCTCGAAAGAGGCTTCAGGAACTGTAGAAACATGTAGGGTTTTCCGTCTTCAGGCAACAGCAACCTGCCTGCTCGGGGCACTTTCCGGGTCGGTGGGATCGGTATCAGCGTGCTTCCGGTTTGGCGGAGCTTCGCATCCAAGTCTTGAGCCACGAGGCCGCTAAGCGGCAGTCTCCTTCACCATAAACACAAAACCCCAAACTGTGAACTCTAAACCCAAAACCCAATACCCTAAGCTGCAATCCCAGGCTGCTAAATGGCAGTCTCCTAGAGAACGTGCTCTTCGGCCAGCACGAAATGCCAGAGAAGCTGAAGTTCGGCTGCAAAGCGAATGTTCTAAACCCTGAACGATCGCAAGTATCCTAAATCCTGCAACCTCCACGCTCTATAAGTAAAACTCAACCTTTTAGACATTTAACTTAAACTCTATGTCTCTAGAGGAGGTGCCATCGAGGCTCGCCTCAAAAGGGAGGTCTCGGCTTTTCTGAGGGATGCATTATTCTAGGGGCCTTAATAATCACCTATACTATTTGTGAGGGTTCCTTATGTACTTATAGTATAGTGGGCCCCAAAACTCTATTCGAATTAGTTAGGCCCGTATAGTATCGAGGTTTGGAGCATAGAAAGGCTAGAATACTTCGCACTACCGCTTTTTAGGGCTCCTTGTTATCACTTGTGGTTTTATCTACCCCCAAACCCTATTCTAACTATTAAGGCTCCTCTATTATAGAACCCTAATGGTAGCCCTTGTAGTAGCCCCCTTTAAAGGAACCCAAACCCTGTCGGAAGAATTATTAAGGCTCCCATATCAAGGCTCCTACATCGCCATTATTGGAGGAGTAGGCTCAAGATCATGCTCTTCCTAGGCCCTAATCCTAAATCCTAACCCCTAAGCCCGAAACCGAGCATTGGGGCCAGAACCTCGCATGGCAGTGGCCTGAGGCAGCGAACGCTCGAGTCCTGCGCCCTGATGCAGGATCGGACGGGTTTAGGGTTTGGGGTTTCAGGGTTAAGGGTTTAGGGTTTTAAGTCTTAGGTTTATGTTTTAGTAGCTTGATTCAGGATCCGACTGGTTTCGAGGGTTATGTTATGTTTGCATGAAGGAACTCTGAAGAATAGATGTTGGGATTTACGGTTTAGGGGAGGTATACGAAGGAACCCTCAGGAGAAGCTTGTGTAATTTTTCGGACCCCTTTAGTGGGCTGTTTGCTTCGGAGCTGGCCTGAGTTTTTCGGATCTGGGGGATTTCCCCGTTCATGTAGCCGAAACTGAGCTCATGAGGTATATACGGTATACTTAGGGTTTAGGGTTCAGGGCCCTATAGGTTTACAGAGGTTCAGGGCAAAGACAAACACAGGATTCAACTTTAGGTTCTTAGGGTTCAGGGTTTGGGGTTCTTGTTATGGGCTTTGTCGGGCTCAGGATTTCCAGTAGGGCCCTTGCCTTAGCAGGGTCTAAACTTTAAGCCCTGAGCCCACCGCTGTGTATGGGCAGGACTTGGATGCGCTGCCCTCCGGGATTCACACCCTCGTTGGAGAGGACAGCAAGGGCATGCCGCCGAAGGGGATTCGTAACCTAGACCTCTGATAAATAAACCCCGTCTCCTTACGGGCACTGATTTTAGGCAGGATCCCTGAACCCTATTCCCTAATCCCCTTAAATCCTAAACTGAGGAAGGGCACGGGGTTTATGGATCAGCGGCCTACATCCGTCGTGGGCTCTCTAACCCCGGAGCTCCTAACCCGAAATCATCGTTCCTGTGAAGGGTTCTATCAGGTTTGCTATTCGTTCTAGAGGGTTTAGGGTTTAGGGTTTAGGGTTTAGGGTATAAAGGAAGACCTTTTAGGGTCTAGTAACCTTACACCGAAGTGCCGAGCTTTCGAAGCGATGCGACTGGATCCAAACCCTAAACCTCAGAACCAAACCCTAGACCCTAAATCCCAAACCCCAAACTCTGAGCCCCAAACCACTTACCATAAACTCTGAGCCCCAAGCCCTAAACCCTAAACCTTCAGCCAGAAACCTTCAACCCCGAAACACCCCTAAACCCTCAAAACCCCCATAATCCGAAACCCAAAGCGCAGAGCCTTTCGGAGGAGGGGGTGCAGCTGAGCGGAGGGCAGAAGCAGCGTGTCTCCCTGGCGCGGGCCGTCTACAGCAGTGCCGAGGCCGGATTCCCGAAGTCTGAAAAACACCACCAAAAGTTTAATCCCTAAAACCCTTGAGCCCTTAGGCCTTGCAACCCTAAGCCCTCCTAGGAAAGACTGAGTTTTGGGTTTAAGGCTTATGGGTTTGGGGATTTAGCGTTAAACGTCTAGGGCCCAGGCCCAAGAATCCAAGCTATCCCGGTCGGTCGGTTCTGACCATCGAGATACGGTTGATGATATAACTCCTGCACTGCCCATCATAAGGAATTTGCCATAATTCCCATACTCTAGGGCCATTAAGGTAATGCAGGATTTATATCATAACCCTGAGCCCTAAACCCCAGAACCCTATAGATCCCCTTAAAGCATCCGCCGTATGAGGTGGTGCTCCTCGACGACGTGCTGTCTGCCTTGGATGCCCACGTCGGCCAGCATGTTTGGGAGAAGGCTCGGGGGAAAGGCCCCTAGGAGTCCCTAAGCCGCAAAGTCCCGAAACCCTAAACCCTAAAACCCGCAGCCCAGAAGGAGTCCTTGAACCCCTAAAACCCTGAAAGCCTTAAAGCCCCCCAAAACCTTCAAGCCCGAAAAACGAACGGGGGTTTTACCCCTGAGCTCCGCCGGTCGCAGCAATGTGGGAGTGTCCGAAAATTGGGGTACCTTGTTTTGGGGCCCTTATAATAAGGATCCTACCATTTAGGGTGCTAAGGGTCCCCTATTTTCGAAAGCTCCCATGTGCTACGCAAAACCGATCCGGACAGGCTATCTGCGGAGCCCTCGATGGGCGCACGCGCGTCCTGGTAACCCATCAGCTCCTCGCAGGCGATAATTCGTGGGGAAGTTTCGTTTGGACAAAGGAGGACCGACCAGGCTTGGCTGGGTTCCCGGTCGTTTTCAGAAGTGCTCCTGGCACAAAGACGCCTGAAGCTTTAGCAAAACTAGGTCGCCAATCCATTTTACTCGAAGAATATGCGACGAAACCCTCTTCCAATCATGCTGGGCTGGGATCCGGCACTGGGCCTTTGGATAAGCTTCACTGTCTGGGTCCCACGAAGCATCACTAAACCCTAAACCCCGGAACTCCTTCTTGGAGGATCATGGGAATTAGTAACTAGGGTTATGAATGAGGTAACTACAGTCATAACTAATTACATATTGCTCCGATTAATGTACTTATATCCTTACGTACTAAGTCCCATCCTCCAATTACGTAAACCTAAACCCCCAACTCTAATCCTCAAAAGATTTTGTCTCGATTTCAGAAGACCGCCGAGGATTCAGTATTGGTCGCACCCCGCGGTGAGCCGGATCCTCATGCTGCGAAAGGATGGATCAACCGAGTTCTTAGGCGCCTGCGGGTGTGCCGTTGCTAAGGGGTTTGGGGGTTTAGGGGTTCAGGGTTTAGGTGTAAAATTCTAGACCCTCAGCCCCTAACTAAACCCCAAACCACTTCCAAACCGCCTCGCATCCTTTGCCAAAGTGGAGCAGTTTGCAGACCTTCATGCTTGTAGCCCAGAATGCACTGCAGGCCGAAACGTTGGAACTTTTTGCGAAAATTCCGGAGGCATGAGGCCCCAAACCGCAAAAGCCACATCCCGCAACAGGCACTTACCAAGAGCTGTCGGCTGAGCCTTCGCTTCAGCCGCGCTTATCCCCTGCGCGCACGGGGTCTTCAGCACAGGAGGCCTAGCGGAAGGGCAATGTAGATCTTGATTCATAAACATACCTTAGATCCCCAATACCCAACCTTTATACTTCTTGGGTTCTTATAGTTTGGTAGGAATCGGAAAGTTTAACCTTTTGTTTCTGTGGTTTATTGGGGTAGTAAGATACAGTGTTTGAGGGCCTTGGTATGGGACTCCCTTTCGTAATTCTGACTCAGCGAGCGGATTTAATGACCAGGGGTCTGTAGGAAAGGTTGCATCTGCAGAGATGCTTGGCATCTCCTCGGGCTGGCTAGCAGCCAGAGCAATTACTCTAAAGTCGCGGTGCACAGTCTAATTCTCCAAGGACTATAAGGAATTGAATATGCTTGCTGATTTGCATCGGGTTTTGGGGTGCACTCTGTAGCATGTTTATCAAGGGTGGCTTGCCCCTGTCACAGTTACGCCCTTTTCGCATGCCAGCTCCCTCCCAGGAGCGCTGTTAGGTATCGGCCGTTTCTCTGTTTCACCCAAATGCTGCACATCAGCTGGATGCTATCGGGGGCAGACGTGGCGAGCATGAGTGTGGAGGGGTTGAGCGACGCAAAGACATTAAAGCAAGAACTTAGTCGCAAGCACGACTTGCCTCCGCGATTCAGGCAAAGACTGTTTCATCGCGGCAATCCTATAGACGATTCTGCCGCTTTGGACTCCATCCTGGAACTGCAGCTGGCCCTGCTTCCATATGCCGCGACCTCGCAGGCCGAAGCGGAAGAGCTGGGGACCTCCTTTCACAACGGCTCCGTTTCCGAGGCTGGTCTTGGCAAAGCGTCCTGCCTGACCCCGTTCTGTTACACAGATGCTTCCAACTCCTAACCCTTTTGCCTACAAGCATGCCAAGCCTTTTTCCTAGATACAAGCCGTAGAGAACCAACAATGAGCAGGTTGAGGCCCTTTTGCAGCAGCCTCGGCACCCAGACATGATCTGCGACGAGGACGGAAGTCGTCCACTGATGCTAGCATCTCAGCGAGGCCATGCGGAAGTCGTGCGTTTGCTGCTGGAGGCCGGTGCCGACGGAAACTTGGCCAAATTCCATGGCCACACCGCTCTGATGTTAGCATCAGAATCAGGCCGCATTGAAGTCGTGCGTTTGCTGCTGGATGCCGGTGCCGACAGGAACAAAGCCAACATTGCCGGTACCACTGCGCTGATGATGGCATCCTGCCACGGCCACTCTGAAGTCGTGTGCTTGCTGCTGGAGGCCGCTGCCGACAGCAACGTGGCCGACGATGACGGCGACACCGCTCTCATGCTAGCATCAAGAAGAGGCTGCATTGAAGTCGTGCGTTTGCTGCTGGAGGCCGGTGCCGACAGAAACTTGGCCAACGATGACGGCGACACCGCTCTGATGTTAGCATCTGCAAAAGGCCACTCTGAAGTCGGGTGCTTACTGCTGGAGGCCGCTGCCGACAGAAACGTGGCCGAAGGCGACGGCTACACGGCTTTCATATGAGCATCACAGAAAGGCTGCATTGAGGTCGTGCGTTTGCTGCCGGAGGCCGGCGCCTGGCCAACAGAGCTGGTAAAACTGCCCTGATGCTGGCATCTGATGCAGCCGACATTCAAGTCATGTTGTTGCTGCGAGCGGCTTCGACAACGACTCATCCGGCAAGCGGCAAGAACACGCGATTCAATGAATAGTATGCCTTGTCAGGGCCTACCATCTACTGCAGGGCCTGAAGGGCTTTTGCTCGCGTTTCTGGTTGTCTGAAACTCATACAACTCCGAAGCCCTAAACCCTTAGCCCTAAACCCTAAACCCAAAGTAACCCCAAACTCTGTCTTCTGCCTAAAGCCGCATCGGTTATCGGATCCTGTCGGTACAACGACATCGCAGCCTTAAGCCCTCAACTCAATGGCCGCAGCCTTCCAACGAAACACTAGACTTTGACTAACCACGGTTTAGAGTTTTGGGTTTAGGGTTTAGGGTTTAGGGGTTTAGGGTTTAGGGTTTAGGGGTTTAGGGTTTAGGGTTTAGGGTTTAGGGTGGAGGAGCTAAGGAGCCAGGGATGATGATAATCCCTATTCAATAAGGAGCTAAAGAGCCAAGGGAACCCCCCAAACCCCTGGTTAGTTGAAGTAACCAGGGAGAACAAATTTATGGTTCCTTTAAGAAACAGGTGAACAGAAACACTGAAGTATGGTACTCCAAACCCATTCATGGGGCCCCCTTAAGGAACCCTCCAATAATCCCTAAACCCGCAACCGCTAAACCCCAGGTATGGTACCCCAAACCCAGGTGACACTAAACTCGAACCTGGAATCTCAAGCATCCAACCTTAAACCCTTAAGCCCGAAACCGAAACCGAAACCTCCATAGAACCCTTACATAAGGGTTCCTTTATTTAAAGGGTTCCTTCAAGGGTTCCTTTATCGAAGCGAACCCTAAACCGAATCCCTTGTTGTAACCCTCCAAAGCAATCCTGAAACCTTAATAGAACCGTTCCGGGAACCCTAACTGCAACCTTTCACGCAATTCTTTCAAGCCCCAACCCGGAAACCAGAACCTCCTAAACCCCTAAAGCCTCAAACCCCTAAACCCCACACCCCAAAGCCCTAAGCCGTCAACCCTAAGCCCTAAACCCCTCGAGGCCCCGACAGAGCCGCAGCCCTCAGCAGCCCCTAAGCCGGGCGCTGCGGCCCCGTCTCGGGAGCAGAGTTCCCAAGAGATGAGGCCGAAGAGCTTTAGGACTTAATATAGGGTTCCGTTAAAGGGTTGCTTTAAGGGATACTATAAGGGTACTATAAGGGTGTTATAGGGGCCGAAAAAATTACCAATACTATTTTGGGGGGCTCCTTTTTAGATTCATAGTATAATAAGCAAGAACTTTAGGACTTACCTAACGCCAGGGTTCCTTGTTACGGTTTCTATATATAGTTCCTTAACAACGGAGGTCTTGAAGAACTTTTGGGATTTGGGGTTTAGAGATTGGGGCTTGGCGGTTTAGCTTTAAGGGTCAGGGCTTAGGATTTGCGGCTGAAGGTTTAGGATTCAGGGTTTAGGGTTAGGGCTTCGTGTTGGGGAGTTTGGAGTTTGTAGGGTTTCGATTTTCGTTGGATGTCGGCTGCTGAAGTGTATGCCTGTTTGGTGAATGTATAGTTGAGCTTACAATTGCAGATCAATGCCTTCTTCCCTTGGTCAAGCATCGATGGTGGCTTCGTGGGATAAATTGGGGGTCTACAGAGTCTACATGTGTTGCAGGTTTTCACTTTAAAACCACCAAAATCCCAAACCCCAGACAATAAAACCTTGAACTCCCAAGCTCCTAACTAAGCTCTACATAAACCAAAAGCACAGACACCCTGAACCTCTGTGTCTGAAGCTTCCCCATGTCGGCGCTTGGGGCGGACAGATTGAATTTCGGATTGCACTTTCTGCGCGCCTGCGTCCCCACTCTCCGAGAAGCCCACCAAGCCCTAATTTTCCGAAAAAGTTACCCTAACCCCTAAACCCTAAAGCCTCAACCCTAAGTCAGAGAACCCTTTGAAAACCCTTAGGGCTCCCGTCAAGCACCCTCCAGAAAGAGCATATCTCCGTTCCAGAGGCGTACCGGCCACATTCTACGGGCCGACCTCCTTGCTTACGCCAAGGCTGGAAATCCGTAAAGGGTTCATTTAATGTGGGAACCTGGTTAAGAAAGTTTGCTCCTATAGCCCCATATATAAGGAACCCTAAACCCTAAACCCTGAACAAAGACCCAAGGTTGCTTAATCAGGTTCCTACATGAGGGTTTAAGGGAGAATCTCGGCCGATTTGCCTCGTCGAATTTGCGGAAATTTGCAGACAAGGGAGCGCCTGAATATTCGAGTCGTTCCCAAAACCCCACGCCGCAAACCAACCCCACTGGGAGGATGAGGGGACTTAGAAGTAAGGTTATGAGTACCGTACCTGACCTGGGGCCAGGAGTAGTTATAACCATTGTTTCCTGCAGCCTCATTTACAAAACCAACTACTAAGTCCCATGATCCCGGTAGAAGTCCTTATGGAGCATTGTGGATCCATTCAACGCGGACCCCTAAAAGGAACTCCTGTACTATTGGGGCCTAAATAATTACCTATATTATTGTGGGATTCCTTATCACTATAGTATAATGAGCCTTCGGAACCCTATTCTAACTATTAAGGCCCCTAAATTAACCCTTAAACAAGGAACTTTGAGTAAACTGGATCGTGATCAGTTGGTGCCGAAATCTCCAGATACTCCGAACCGTCTTATTGAAGGAGAATTATACAATTCATTTTTGGCCTTCATCAAGGGGTGTATAGGGTCTCGGGGGACCAGCCCGACGATTGCCAGGCCTGTGGCGGCTTGGGTGGCGTGTCAGTGATTGCAGTGCTGATGGTGGCCCCTTTCTCGCGTTTTGCAGTTGAATACAGGTCCGAATCCTATATTCGTATACATGCCGCTTTTTGTCCCACATAAGTACACGTTCCTATACCCCAGCACTTCTTGACAATTGTTAAGACCTGCGACCTGCGGAGGGACAGGGCTTCTGATGTCTGGGTGTGTCCGGCCTCCTTGGAAGGGCTGCTTCCTGATGCCCTGTCCGGAACAACTAGTAGTTAGCGAGACCTGATTATGTGTCTATTCCTTTGACAGCCGCATTTGCGCAACAAAGCGCGCATCGCGGGTTATATGCTCAAGCTTGTCGTTGCAGAACCTGTGAAGTCCTGTAAAACTCATCAACCCACAAGAAGCCTAAACTCCAAACCCTTAAACTCCCTTACGCTCTAAACCCTGGACATTTAAAACCGGAATCCCTAACCCCTACCTTTCGACCCTCTAAAACCCCTAACCCGTAAACCGGCAGCCGGAAAGCCTTACACCCTCAAGCCCAAAGCCCCTTAAACCCTGAACCCCTAATGTAGGGGCCTCAATAATTGCCTAGACTATTTTGGGGGTTCCTTTTCAAAAATGTAGTATAATGGGGCCCAAAACCTTATTGTAATTATTAAAGCCCCTGAGGTAAACATTTCAACTTTCAGCCTCCGCCACCGTAATGAAGCCCAACACCCACCCTAAACCCTACACTCTAAAGCCTTTAATCCTAAAAAGCCCTAAAGACGTTAAGCCTTAAAGCCTTGTACTCAGAGGGTTAAAGACCTAAAGCTTCAAAAACCCTCTTGACACCGTAGCACAAAGCCCAACAAGCCTTGAACGCTAAACCCTTAAGATGTGTAGACCCCTAATCCACAATCCCTAACCCTAACCCCTAAACCCCGAACCAAAAGCCCATTAAACCCCAAGCCCAAAGCCCTTAGAGGAATCCTTCCTAAACCCTGAAACCCCAACACCCCTAAACAGGCCTTAAACCCCAAACAGACCCCCAAAGCCCAAACCCTAAATCCTAAACCTCAAGCCCCAAACCTCAAAACTCAAACCTCCGTAGAAACCCTAAACCCTAAACCCCTAAACCCCTCAACCCTCAAACCCTCAAACCCTCAAACCCCGAAACCCTCAAACCCCTACACCCCTAAACCTCCTTAGAAATCCCTAAACCCCTCAAACCTCCTTAAAGCCGCTAACCCCTAAACCCTAAGAGGCTTACTACGGGGTACAGCTCGCCTCGAGTCTGCAGCTCGCGGCCTGGTCCAACGCGAACGTTGCGGCAGAGGACTCGGGTCTGATATTGTGGTGGTTTTCTATGGGTGTTGATGCTTTTTCTTTATGGTTTCATATGTGTGTTTAGGAGGTGTTTTTGTGTTGTTTGTTTCGGTTTGTCTGTTTATGTTTTGACTTTTATGTTTGCGGTTTTGGTTGTATATTTTGGCTTAGAGTGTTTATGTGTTTTGGTTTTGGTTTTTATGTCTTTTGTTGAACTGTGCTTTTGCTTCATGGTCCTATGGTTGCTGTTTTGTGTTGCTTTCTTTTTGTGTTTTCTGCGTACGTTTTTCCTACTTGGTTTGCTTATTTGTTCATTTTTCTGTTTGTCGGCGTAGGTTTAGCAGGATCTGATGGGGTTGTCGTTTGTGTAGTTCGGTATTATGCATCTGAGGTTGGGTGTCCACGAGGCTGGGCTGTGACAGTCAGGGAAGCGAACGGATGATCTTCTGGGTCTTTCAACAAGGTTATCAGATCCAGGTAGGTCGGTTGCGGGCTTTGCCGAGCCTAACATATGACACGGACTAGCTAATGATAACATATCCGCCTCTCGTCTGGTTAGACTACAATATGGGAGTTTCCGAAAATTAGGGGTCCCTTATTTTGGGGGTCGTTGTAATGTGGATCCCCCTATTGAGGGCGCTATATTAAGGTCCCCTGTTTTCGGAAGCTCCCATACATCCCAAGACCCAAGTCCAATAGTCAACTCCCCTACATTAAGTCACATCATGCTCGAGAGGACTCTGGGCACCCAGAGGCCCGGGATCAGAGCCGCCGGTACCTCGCGCCCCGGCGGCTATAATGCCGGGAGGGTACTTGGAGGATCATGGGACTTAGTAAGTAAGGTTATAAGTACCTTAATTGGAGTTATAACTAGTTGTAACTATATAGTTACCTTGGTTATAACCCTAATTACTAAGTCCCATGATCCTCCAAGTAGGAGCGCTTGCAGCCTTGAAGTTTTCGATCTTCGGGAGCCTTCAACAAGCCAGAAGCTCCAAACCTCAAACCCTCGACTCCTAAGCTCTAAACCCTAAAGGGTTCATGTGTAAGTAAGCAAGGCTAGGGTTTAGGGTTTAGGGTTTAGGGTTTAGGGGTTTAGGGTTTAGGGGTTTAGGGTTTAGGGTTTAGGGTTTAGGGTTTACCTGTAGCAGACCGCAAGCTAAGCTTGGATGTCTGGGCTGGATCTGCAGCAGCTGCGTTAGACTGGCTGACTGGCCAGCCTCGACCCCAAAGCTAAATCCTATATCCCTTAAGCCCTAAGCCCTGAGCCCGAAAAGTAGTACGCGGAACCCTTAAGCCCCAAACACCTAAGGTGCAGTATCTGATCCTCTGCCTCCTGACTGGCATCAGTTCCTTGGCTTCGACTCTGGAGTAATAGTTTAGGGCCTACTTTATGTAGCAGCCAAATGGTGTATTCTTCATTAAGGTTCTTCAGTCTGGATCTACTCATGCGAAATATGCCCCGTAACCCGTCAGCAAGCCTGAATAGCTAATGATATTCTTCCCCAGGCTTCCTGACTATAGATATACCGACGTCCGACATGCAGGGCTGTAATACGGGGGCCTTAGTAGTTACCAATACTATTTTGGGGGTTCTTGTTTTTCACAATATTCTGAGCATTACGCCCCCTGCATCGGACTTGCATTGAATCCCAACCCAGCGTTCAGCCGCCCTTGGGCTCAGGGTGCCTTTAGGGATTCAGATGTTGCAGGTGAGGTGTCACCGTAAGCCCTGAGCCCTAAGCCCTACATCGTCAGTCTCGACACTGCTCAGGGTTGAAGTCCTAACAACTCTCCTTCAGGTGGGTGGTTTGTGCTCGCAGTGTTTTGATTGATTGTCCCTTTTGAAGCTCTTCTTCCGTTTAACCAGCTTAACCCTACACCCTGAGCCCTGAACCCAGTTCGAAAAGGAGCCATTAATAAAAGAAAGTACACCCTAAACCCTGAACCCTAAACACTGAACCCTAAACCCTAACCTGCACCCTAAACCCTGAACCGCAAAAAAGGAACTGCAATGGAGACTGTGGGTCTCGGTCCTCAAGGAAAAACAGCCAAGCCCCGGAGGTGCCCATCCCATCGAAGGGATCTCTCTCAACAGGCACCATGTCAATCGCGGTATGTTACTATTAAGCAGATTCAACATTCTGGTATATTATGGTATATCGGTGCATGACGACACCAGAAATCTTCATTGCAGCATGCCAGGCTGCTTCAGCTTCTTCTACGGCATTCAGATAGTGGCCCTGCGAGCGTCCAGAGAGATGCATACACTCTTCGTGCGAGGCTCTGTGCGCCTCTGCATTGGGGGTTTCATTCAAATCTTTCAGGCAGTCGGCTTCGCTGGGTTCATATCCGTAATCCTCAAAACTAAACAAAACCAAAAACCGAAGCCTGAAATCCTAACCCGCACTGAACCCTCAACGGGGCAGATCAGCCCCAATTCACTATGTAAGGGTTGAGTCCCCCTGCTTGTGGCTTTTCCGAGACGCCATGAAGTGCGCAGCATTTCAGGACATCCTTGAAGATCTGCGCACCCCTCCAACGAAGGAATTCAATCCTAAATCCTGAACCCAAAATTCTCAAATCAAGAACCTGAAGACACCAAGCCCAAAATCCCAAACCAAAGCCCCGTGGGCACAAGTAGAGAACTCTCAAACCCTAAACCCTAGATCCCAAACCATAAGAACCCAAGTCTCAAACCCCTAAACCCTAAACCCTAAAGCCCCTAAACCCTAAACCCTAAAGACCCTAAACCCAAAACCAAGTCCTGAGATGGCTTGGAGGCCTCATCCGCACGGAGCTGCGCTTCTTCGACCTCACTCCAACCGGCCGGGCACTGAACCGATGCCTCAAGGACCTTTAGAGTTCCTTAGGGGTACTTAGAAATTATAAGGGTTCGAAATTATAAGGGTTCCTTTAAGGGATCTGTAGGGTGTTTTATAGGGTTTAGGAGACTCCAATATTCGTGGTTACGGTAACTTAGATCCCGAATACCCAACCTTTATACTTTTTGGGTTCTTGTAGTTTGGTAGGAATCGGAAAGTTTAACCTTTTGTTTCTGTGGTAAGTTAAAGAGGTTACTATAAGAGAATGGGGCTCCTTTGCAGGGGTTACTATAAGGACCTTTAGGTTCCTTTAAAGTTTAAGAGGTTGCTATAAGAGTCCTTTAAAGGGGTTACTATAAGGACCTTTAGCGTTTATGGTTTGGGGTTTCGGGTTGAGGGTTTCGGGTTTCGGGTTAGGGTTTAGGGTTTAAGGTTTAGGGTTTCGGGTTTAGGGTCTCGGGTTTAGGGTTTCGGGATGCCTCAAGGATCCGATCCGATTGATGATTTAAGCCACCACTTGGAGGGCCGGTGGTTTTAGTACGTAGGTAGTAGGTAGACTTACAAGGACCCTAAAGCAATCCTAATTGGGGTATGAGGTCTGGAGTACCATATTTTGATAGTTCTTTAAGACCTTTGCCTGAAAGGAACCATAATGAAATACAGGTTTGTACCTTTTTCTCCTTGGTTGGTTACCTCATTTCTAGTTTACACTATCATATTCTACTTTTTTGTACTAGGCCCTGAAACCTAAGGTGAGGGTTTAGGGTGTAGGTATCAGGGCATAAGGGTTAAGGGGTTTAGGGTTTTCTGGTTTAGGGTTTGGGATTTCAGGGCTCTGGGTGTAGAGGTTACAGCGGCTCTACTGTTGAATGGCACACACAAGCCGCACATAAGAGCGTATACCATTTCCTTGCGACTGACCGCTTTGGTTAGGCCACCCCAATGAGTCCTTTGAACAATAGTTGACAGGACATGGCCACACTCGATGACAACATGCCAGCGGCGTTCCGAATGCTCTTCGAGTGCTTCATGCCCCTCGGTGGAGCTTGGGGGGACTTGCAGATTGATTCGAGGGACAAGAGAACTGCGAGCCCAGGATGTGCCACCGGTGTAGGATTTGGACCTAAATTAGGTGGCTGTCAAAATTAGGGTTTCTGTTTGGGTACCCTAACCATTAGGTGCCGTATGATATTAAGGTCCCAAAACGGGACCCTATCTGAAACCTAATCCGAATGTAACCCTAAACCCCAAACCCTAAGTAGCCTAACAAGCCTTTCCAAGAACCCTGAACCCCGAACCCTCAATGCTGAACTCAAGACCCCTGAATCCTAAAGCCCACACCCGAAACCCTAAATCCCTCAACCATAAGCTGACTTTGAAAAAGGCCTTGTAAAATCCTAAACCCTGAACCCTAAACCGTGAACTCTAAACCTTAAACCCTAAACCCTAAACCTTAAAACCTTAAACCCTAAACCTTAGACCTTCAACCCTAGACCTTCAACCCCTCAACCTTATAGACCCTGAGCCTTCTTAAGCGAATCCCCGAATATCTGAGGAACCTTAAACCCTAAGCCTTATAAACCCTAAGCCTTATAAACCCTAAGCCTTATAAACCCTAAGCCTTATAAACCCTAAGCCTTATAAACCCTAAGCCTTATAAACCCTAAGCCTTATAAACCCTAAGCCTTATAAACCCTAAGCCTTATAAACCCTAAGCCTTATAAACCCTAAGCCTTATAAACCCTAAGCCTTATAAACCCTAAGCCTTATAAACCCTAAGCCTTATAAACCCTAAGCCTTATAAACCCTAAGAATATCTGAGGAACTGTTGCATCTCCCTGCTGGTACTCGGCCTCTATGCCTGGGAAGCCCTGGTACCTGAGCCTGGTTCGTGGTTACCCAGAGATCCTAGGATGCCTAGGGGTCCCTTTAAAGGGGTACCTTTAAAGGGATCTATAAGGGGTTCCTTAAAGGGATCTATAAGGGTTCTATAAAGGGTTGAGGGTTTCCGAACATTAGGGGCTAGGATGCCCAGTAGTACCCTTATTCCCTTTTTGTAGTCCTAGGTTCCTTATAAAGTTACCCAATACCAAAAAGAGAGTACTGTACAGTAGAAGTTAGAAGCTGCCCCCACCCTGTAATAGTGGTATAATAGGAATATGATAGGGCCCTAATATAATCCTATATAATCCTTATGGTCACTATTACAGTGTGGGGGCAGCTTCTACACCCTAAACCCTAAACCCTAAACCCTAGAACAAGAACCCAGTATCGACTAGCTAGATGAGGGTTCTGGGGTAAATGGAATGTTGCTACAGTAGAAGCCCAAAAGTCGGAAACCCGATAGTCTCGATCCTTAAGAGTAATGTATAGGGAATCCCAGCACTATTTGGCCTTAAGTCAACGGGGTATTCGTGGTTACCCAGAGATCCCAAGATCCCTTAATTAAGGAATATGCCTTAGATGATAATATTAGGGATCCTATTATAGTTTAAGGTGTATTCCTTAATTAAGGGGTATTGGGATCCCTGAGTACTGCAAGGTGTTTGTAAGGTTACCGTAAGGTTTGGGGGTATAGGTTTATTAGAAGGTTACTGTAAGGCGTAAGGTTTAGGGTTGGGATAAGGTTACTGTAAGGATTGGGGTTTAGGGTTTAGGGTTGATATAAGATTGCTGTAAGGTTTGGGGTTTTCATAAGGCTATCTATCATAGGAGTTAGGGTGTAGGGTCTAGCTAGTTTGGGGCTTTGTATACCGTAAGGTTACTGTGAGGTTCTATCATACGATTGGGGGTTTAAGGGTTTAGGGTCTGGCTGGGGCTTTGTTGGGTTACTTGAAGGTCATTGTAAGGTTAGCATATGGTTAGTATACGGTCACTCTAGGGTTGTTTTTCTAGGGTTACTGTAAGATCATTGTAAGGCTATTGTACGTAGGGTTATGGCAGGGATAGTAGAAAGATATTACAGGGTTACTATCAGAATCATGTTGTTTTTCATTTGGTTGCTGAAAGGTGAGGAGTACGGTTTAGGGTTGAGGATTAAGGTACAAGATCACTTTGGGTTATTATTCGGGCATTCTACAGGGGACGTCAGGCTTTACTTCCAGGTGTCATTTTCCTGCGGTTTGGGGTTCCCTGACGTCGGATTCTTAGGGGCTAGTTTTTAGTATACGATAAGGTTACTGCAAGGGTATTGTAGTGCTACTGCTGGGATACTCTACAGGGTTTAGTTCAGTGTCGAGTCCACGGTTTGAAGGGCATCTTGCCTAGGTTCGGATTTGGCTGTTTCGGCTCTGTGTATGCTTGCTCTGTGAATGAAGTGTGCGTAGATGAGCTCAGTGACTCATCGTTGTGCGAAGGCGGAGGGGTCGTAATCCTTGTAGCCACCCGTAGCCATCGCAGCTCGAAAGCGCCGTTTCCTGAACCCAGGTTCCGAGTGAAAAGTTGACCGTAGGATGCTGCACATCTGGCTTGCTTCGGGACAGCATGTGGCTACCCTGTCCAGTGAAGGCTTCGGCGACGTACTTGCGCTGAAGCGGCATTTGCAGAGACTCTGCGGGAGGTCTCGTTTCAGGCAAAGGCTCCTGAACCAAGGCACTCTTTTGGAGGAGAAGGAAGAGCTGGCTGAAAGGACGGACTTGCAGCTCGTGTTGCTCCCCTTTGAAAGCATCTCCTCGGATGAGGTCGAGGAGCTCATAGATGCTGCAGCAGATGGTCAGGTCATGAAAGTAGAGGAGTTTCTGAAACGACCGGTTGACCCAGACGTGACCGACAACGAGACGACGGCTCTTTCTGAAGCGGCCTTCGAAGGGCACGTGGAGATTGCGCGTCTCCTTCTGGAGGCCGGAGCAGCGACGGACAATGACGATCCAGCTTCTTAGTAGAGTAGGTCAGCTTTAAATATTTTTTGGGGTTCTTTAATCCATATATAATCCCAAAGAAGGCTATAACCGTAAGTTCCCCGATGATACTGGGCAAGTGAGGCGTATTGCACTCCACTGACTGCCTCGGCTATGTGTGGACATCTTGAGGTCGTGCAGCTACTGTTGGAGGCTGGGGCAGACAAAGACAAGGTCAGCGATCGAGGCACACCTCTGAGTTGGGCCGCTTACGAGGGCCACGTCGAGGTGGCCCGCTCTTTGCTTCAAGCTGGCGCTGCCAAAGACAAGGTCGACGAAGACTTGTACACACCTCTCTTTGCAGCCACAGAGAGACGACATTTTCAAGTGGTGCGGCTCCTCCTGGATGCCCGTGCCGATGCTGACATATGTCCAGAAGACACGTGGACGCCCCTTTGCTTGGCCTCTTCCGTGGGAGACGTGGACATGGTCCGTGCGCTGCTGGATGCCGGCGCGGACAAGGACAAGATCAGCAAGCAAGGGACGCCTCTTACCTGGGCAGCCTATGAAGGGCATGCGGAGGTTGTGCGTGCTTTGCTATTAGCTGGCGCTGACAGGGGAAAGGTGGATGAAGACCTATATACACCGCTGACTGCCGCCTTCGAGCGACGGCATTACAAAGTGGTACGGCTGCTTCTCGATGCTCATCTGCTGAGGCTGACTTGGATTGTCCACAAAACACGGACGCGATCCTCGGCAGAGTATCCACCGTATAAGACTATAAGATGTGACTCTGTCGTTTGAGCAGCAAGTGCTGAAAGTTAGTGGGCGGAAGGCAAGTGCCCTGAGCCTGGTGGCAAGACATCAAGACTTGCGCACATGATTCGTTGCCTGCTGGAGACAGCAGTTTGAGGTTAGCGTGCCTGCTCGCAAAGCCTCGCGCAGACGCAGAAAGAACTGTACTGTGAGCTCATGAGCCCAGCTCCACCAACGATTTTTGGACCACTCTGAAAGCTCTGCACTCCACCCATCATGCTCGAACGCACAAGTTTAGTTCGCCGCAAATTTACGCGTTCCTGAAGCTTCAAGGCTTTCATCGCAGAATCCCTGAAGCCTAAGCACCCGACATCCTGAACAAGAACTCCAGACCCAAACGCCTAACCCTGAACCCTAGAAGGCCCCAAGACCTGAAGTTTCTGAATTCGGTATCCTTTTCCGATTTCAAACCCTCGCCCCTCTCTTCTTCTTCCTTGTCGGGGTTCCAAGACAACGAAACAGCCTCACCGACCCTAAACCCTTAAGCCGTAATATCCATCCATCCTTCAACAAGGAGGAGGATCATGGAAATGTGTAAACCCAAAGCCCTAGACCCTAAATTGTCCCCCTAGATATTATTTTGTATTTGCTCATATAAAACCCAAGAGAATATTCAACATATTTATTTTTATGATGGTTCTAAGGGGGGTAAAGTAACCCTTAACATGGAACCGAATCCTGACAGTTTGAGCCCTCCCCGCCCCCCCCGCCCCGCCATCCTCGCGGCCCTTGGGCTCACAGCTTTCAGCTGTCAGGTCATCGTACCGCCCTTCATGGTTCTCTACTGGCCGCTGGGCTGGGCCGGGTGTAGGGTTTTACGGTTTCAAGGCTTTTAGGGTTTTAGGTCTCTAGGGTTTCAATTCTTTAGGGCTTTGAGGGTTCTATTTCTAGGGCTTTGGGGCGTTTAGGGCATTAGGGCTTTAGGGTTTTAAGGCATGTCCCGCGGAGTTTGGCTTCGGGTTTGGGGCTTCCCGGCTTTGGAGCTTTGGGGAGGTCCTGAGGTTAAGGGAACAAGGCCAGTTTAAGGTTTGGCTTTCGGGGTTTATGTTTAGAGTTTAGGGTTCAGGGTTCAGGGTTTAGGGTTCAGGGTTTAGCGTTTAGGGTTCAGGGTTCAGGGTTTAGGGTTTAGGGTTTAGCGTTTAGGGTTTAGGGTTTAGAGTTTTAGGGTTCAGGGTTTAGGGTTCTGCCGGCGCTAGACTCCAAACCCCTAAAAAAAACCCTTCAGCCCCAGCCCCGAAACTCTGAGACCCGAACCGAATGCCCTAACATTTCATGTGCCCATGCCTAAACCCTAGAACCCTGAATGACTAGGACCCAGAGTAGGCCCTTATTCCCTTTTTTAGGGTTCAGGTTCCATTTTAATCCCCTTGAAACCAAAAAAGGGCACCCTTTTTATTCCTAGGTTACTCTTAGGTCTAGGCAAGCCCCAAGCTCAAAAACACGACAGCCCCACCCGATCAGGATGATCATGACTGTCTACCGCTGGCCAGCACGCGACCTGAGGCCAGAACCCTAAACCCCTCATGAACGTATAGTGTTTCGGGATCCACTGACCTGTTTGCCCTGTCCCATCATATCGTCTTCGTGACTTCCGATCGTCAAAAGCATCCACAGTTTAGGGTTTAGGGATGAGGGTGTAGGGCCCCAGCACTATAAATCTAATCCCTATGCCACTAGAGACCATAAGCACTTCATCCCCTGGGCAGGCGGCTGGAGGGCGTGTCCAGATCACCCGGCATGAGCCACTTCTCCGACTCTGTGAAGGCCAGGCTTTCCGCAACTCGCTGCTCGAGAACCTGACTACTTGGAGGATCATGGGACTTAATAAGTAAGGTTGTAAGTACCTTAACTGGAGTTATAACTAGTTATAACTATAGTTATCTTGTTCATAACCCTAATTACTAAGTCCCATGATCCTCCAAGTAGGTTTTAGGGCTTATAGGGCCAAGGGATTGCATTATTGTCTTCCATGATGACCAGTCCCTGACTAGATCCGTCTGATCCTGTCCTTGACTTCTGGCAGGGCGCAAACACGATTCGAGCATACGGCCACGAGGCCGGTTCGGTTCTTCCGACCAAGGATTTGACGTGTGCGAACATCGAACGGAGGCTATTGTATGCAGGTGCATTCAGATTTGACCCGAAGCTGCGTTCCGCGATTTCGCAGTTGGACTGTTTGTTCTGGCCTTGCTAGCGTTCTGCCCCGCGATGTTTGACGGAATCGTAATGTTATCCCGAGCAGTCCGTATTTCTGAATTCCGTTATATCACGACACATCATCTCACGGCCACATTCTAAGCATTCCGGCCGCGCTTAGTGCAAGGGGACGTTGCTGTCGATATTACGAACCCTAAGCCCAACTTCTGACCCCTAGATCCTAATCCGAAGCCTTCAACAAGACTCCGAAACTACGGTTGATGATATAAATCCTGCATTACCCTAAGGACCCTAAACTATGAGAATTATGGTATATTCCATGTTATGGGTAATGCAGGATTTATATCATCAACCGTACGAACCCTAAACCCTAACTTAGCTTCTTAAACCCCTAAGCCTCAAGCCTTCCAAAGGAGTCCCAAAAGCCTTAAACCTCTCCGAGAACCCAATATCCTTTAATTCAGGAATATACCTTAAATCATATTAGGGATCCTATGATAATTTAAGGTATATCCCTTGATTAAGGAGTATTGGGATCCTTGGGCTCTCAACCCTAAACCCACCACAGCATCGCCGTGTAACCCTCGCATCCTTGACTGAAGGCCCGATTCCTTCAGCAGAACTTGAACCTCTTGGGACAGACTCAGAGGAGCAACCCTGGCCTTAGGGTTTCGGGGGAACAGAACCCCTACAGGTTCCTAAAGATCCCTTACAGGAACCCCTATAGATCCTTGTAAGGAACCCTAAACAGCTAGGGTTTAGGGTTTAGGATTTAGGGTTTAGGGTTTACAATTCAGGGTTTCAGCTTTAGGATTTAGGGTTTAGGGTAGTCCAGCTTCTGTTTCCGGGTGCAGGTTTGTTTCTCCCACAAGCGGTTTTTGCCCCTGCATTCAGATTTGGGGTTGGACCCCATATTGCTGCACTGGAGCGGTGCAAGCAGTTGTGATTTCGTCATGAGCAACAGGTGCAGCAGGAGCCATTGAACCAACTGTCGATCGTCAACTCTTTCGGGATCTAGCCCAAATGACAAAGGGTAGTGATTCTTCTCTTGCTTGGCCATGTGGGGGGGTTTTTCTGTGATCCAGCAAGCTTGCAAATGCCGCTGAAAAAAGGGTCGCAACCCCTTCACCGCAAAAGACGATCTCCCACAAATGTGGCCCGGGATCGTCGCAGGCGAACAGAGTGGCTGCTCAGGAGGACAGGTCAGCATGACATAGTGCCGGCGGAGCGCATCTGGCTGTTGGACAGGCTCTGCAGCACATGTGAGCGCACTGACGGCGCTTTCGCTGCTTTCTCTCGGTGCTTCAGTGCATCGCCGTTATCGTCAGTTGCAAGGTCGCGGGAGATTCTTCCGATGGGCGGTGTTGATGAAGCCTTTTTGAGTTCTTTGCGATTGCAGTCGTGGAAACAGAAAATCATGTGCAGATTCGTGAACCTCGTCATCATGATCTTGAACTTTTTGTTTGGGGTCGGGAAATCTGCCGGAAGGCCGCCCAGAATGACAACAGCTCAGACCGACGTGGCTCGACGCATTGTGGATCGCTGCAGCGATTTCTACGACCGCCTGCGGGCTGCTGAGGATGGGTCATGGGAGCACTTGCTCCCGGACTGGGTGCCTGGTGTCGTGAAGCCGGAGGGCCCTAAGTATGCGGCTCTCATGTGTGATGCCGTGGATGTTTTGGGCAGTTGCGGGATGCTCGACCCCTCGCCGTATTTACCTGCAGCCTCACGTGCACTGCTGTCAGATGCTTCTGCTGTTTTCCCTTCGCCTTCGGCAGGCTTGGCACAGTTCGACAGTATTCCTGATGATGACAGACCCGAGTACGTCAAACTTGTGGCCAAGCAGTTGCGAAGTGGAAAGCTGGGCTTGCGTACCTCTGTGTCCGGTGGTGGCACTGTTTTGGTGGTGACAAAGCCTGGCACTGGGAAGCTGCGCGAGATTTGGCACGGAAAACGGGTCTCGCAAGCTGCCGCCCCTCCTTTCCCACCACGGCATCTGGCTTCGCCGACTGCTTTGCTACACATGGAGGCAAGTGCGGACAAGCCTCTGCGCGTTAGCAAACGTGATGCGAAGTGTTGGTTCGACCAATTGGCCCTGCCAGAAGAGCTCCGACAATGGATGGGAAGGCCGCCCGTCAGCATGCAGGAGCTCCAGCTGTATGGGGACATGAGCATCTCTGAAGTGGCATCGTATGTGCAATCGGATTGCTGTTCGGCTGAGCGTTTGTTTCCTGTGTCGCACGTCTGGCCAATGGGCTTCTCTTGGTCGTCGCATGTGGCCCAAGAGGTGCTTCTCTCGTGCTGTCAGGAAGCAGGTCTGGGGGAGGAGTGCGTGCTGGCGTGCGACGCGCCCACTCCGTCCCAGTTTGCTAACGTTTTCGCTGCTGCCACAGACGACGCAATGTTTTTCAGCAATGCCGGGCCTGGTGTGACAAGCAGTGTTGCACAGCGCTTCGACGAGGTTATGGCAGAGCGCGGGGCAATCAAGCACCCAGGAAAGGATGTGAACGACGAGCTGGACGCCACGTGTGTGGGGGTGCGGCTGGAAGGTGGCACTCACTTGGCAGCGCCGCCAGCCCGTTGCTTGGCGCTCACCATCCTCGTGCTGACCCTTGCTCGCACTCCGTATGCCTCGCCGAAGGAGGTTCACTCGGTCCTCAGCATGCTGCAGTGGTACGACCTGCTCAGGCGCTCGAAGTTGGCTACTTACCAGAAGGTCTACTCCTTTGTTCAGCATCCTGATGACACGGATCTTCGCCACATTCCGCCCGAGGTCGTCGAGGAGTTGTTGCTCGGCTTGGTTCTCGGCGTTTTTTGGAAAGCGGACCTTTGCAGACCTTTCCTTCCCTTGGTGGCTGCATCCGATGCTAGCACAGAGTATGGCTTTGGAGCATCAGTGGCCCGTCTTCCGCAAAGCAAAGTTCGTGAGCTAGCGAGAGCTGCCGAGAAGCAAGGAACTTTTGTCACTCTTGGCAGCGGCAACGACTACGCGGCTAGAGCTGGGTTCGAGCACAAGCTTGGTCTTCCAAAATCTGCTTTCGTGCACATCTTCAGCGCCAAGAAGAGACGCGATGCACATATCAACATTCTGGAGGGTGAAGCTTTCGTGGTGCTGCTGCGATGGCTTTTGCGGTGTCGGAGCAGACACTGCTCCAGGGTCGTTATCTTGGTGGACTCAGCTGTCTGGCAAGGTGCAGCGGCAAAGGGAAGGTCTTCCACGTCACTGAACAGGTTGCTACGCAAGGTCGCAGCTCTGACGATGGCGGGAGACCTTCACTTACACTTGGTGCTAGTACCCTCGGCAGAGAACCCGAGCGATGAACCGTCCAGAGGCATTCGTGTCCGTAAGCCAAAGAAGCCTCCCAGATTGCCAAGCTTCCGTCGGTTGCTGTCCAAACTATGTGCAGCGGCAGTGGCGACGGATGCACCGGCAGTTCCCGCGAGCTTCAGGGCATGAGAAGGCGTTGAGTTTTGTTTTTGAATTTGTTTGGTTTGTTGGCCCGGTTGTAGCTGGTTAGCCGCCGTTCAACGTCAAGTGGAGCTGGAAGTGCAAACTAATCAGCTGTATTCCGATGCCATCAACGAAGTTTTGGTTTTCATGACTCTGCCACTTCCGTCTGGACCATCCGGGCTACGTGCTGATGGTTTTTGATCGGGTACCTCCTTGCGAAAGTTGCTGCGGGCGCACAAGGAGTTGTTGCGCTGTCCCTTGTCTTGGTTCAGGCTCGCGGAGCGCTTGACGGTCTGCCATGACAAGGGCTCAAAGGCGTGAGCAAGATGCCGTTTAGCCCTTAGGCTGGCTTCCTGCAACCTAAATTGGCGGCCACACGACGCCGACTGGCTGCCGTTGGCCAGGGCTGTGGGGGTGGGCACATTTGTGATGCGGATCTGAGACAGCGGTGTTCAGCCAACGCATTTTTGCTTGATCTCTACTTCCTGGCAGATGCATGGCAGGCGGAAACACTGCGACGGCATGCACATGCTTCAGGGTCAAGGGCGACAGCGAGCATGACAGCAATGGACCCCATATTGCTGCACTGGAGCGGTGCAAGCAGTTGTGATTTCGTCATGAGCAACAGGTGCAGCAGGAGCCATTGAACCAACTGTCGATCGTCAACTCTTTCGGGCTCTAGCCCAAATGACAAAGGGTAGTGATTCTTCTCTTGCTTCCCACCCTTCCCGTCCCTAAGGGGCACATTTGTGATGCGGATCTGAGACAGCGGTGTTCAGCCAACGCATTTTTGCTTGATCTCTGCGACGGCATGCACATGCTTCAGGGTCAAGGGCGACAGCGAGCATGACAGCAATTAGGGTTTAGGGTTGGGGCAGGCTGTCAGAGGAGCTTGCAGCCCATCTGCTTTGTCATCCGAATGCAGTGCTTCAAGCACCATGTCAGCACCCAGAGACTCCAAAACTGCTTAATGAAGGAACTTTCTTTAAATCGCTTTACATCCGAATAAGGATCCCGGTATGTTTTAAGGTTCATGCCTTGATGAACGGGTTTAGGAGTCTCTGGTCACTTCGACGAACGTCTGCAAGGGTATTCATTGCACGGTGCGTTTAGGAGGGGGGAAATAGAAACGTGGCGGCAACCTCTGTAAATCATGATTACACAGGCGCCTGAATAATTAAAACCGGAAATTTGGGGTATATAGTAGTGCTCGTGCTGCTCCCTCAACAGGAATTACATAATACGTATATACAGTAGAGTAGGTTTATTTTATATGAAGCCTTGGAGTTACGACCGAGACCCGCTGGAATGAAGAAGATCTCAGCAGATGAATCCTGTCGTTTGCAGGCATCAGTGGCCCTTAAACTTCTTTTTCAGGGTTTGGGAATACAGGTTTTAGGGGTTAGGGATAAGGGTTTAGGGTTTAGTATTATGTTTGAGGGTTTAGGGATAAGGGTTTAGGGTTTGTAGAGATTAATGGCCCGAAATGCCCGCCTGCGCAGGACCGTCTATTGGTTCTGGGTGGCACAAGCCTGGGTTTCGACGTCGCAGGAGGCTCTGTCAAGCTGCAGAGGGTGCTACGCTGACTGCTGCATAGAGGATTATGGGACGTAGTAACTTAACTAGGATTATAGTGATGTAACTATAGTTATGTTTATTTATATCTCCAATTTTGGTACTTATAACCTTACTTACAAAGGCCCATGATCCTCGAAACGGGAGTCCTCTAAAACCCTAAACCTAAACCCTAAAGATCCCTCAATGGAAGGTGCTACAGCAGCTAGCAGCCCTCACAGTGAGCTTGCTTGTGACGGCGACCAGCCAGCCCTCGAAACTCTAGGAGAACATCTTTACAGTCTATGGCAAGCCTTCGAAACGAGGTGGGGAACAAAAGAGCCTTAAACCCCAACCCCTGATCCCTTAGCCCTGAGAACTCTACAGTTGTACAGGAACCGGTTGCGGCACAGACCTTTCCCCGCCCCTCATGAGATCGTTTATGCGCATAAGCGTGCCGGCACACTGAAGGCGTAGTGTTGTACGCAGTCAGTCCTCAAGTGGTTGCGTCGGGACAGTTCGCAATGGATGCATGCACAAACCGTAAACACAAATAAACCCTTCAACCCGAAACCCTTAAACCCTAAGCTTTTTAACCGAAAGCCTTCCAAAGCCCTGAGTTTCAAAAAGAGCAGGTCCTGGGGACTGTTGCGCTTGCCGTAATTGCCGGCGTGGTGGGCTGCCCGTCTGCCAGTATAGGCTTTAGGGCGTAGCCAAGGTTCCATAACGGTTCTGTAAGGGTTCTTGAAGGGTCCTGAATAGGGCTTGGGGTCTTAAGGTTAGTAGTATAGGGCGCTGAATAATTACCTATACATAGTTATAGTATAATGGGCCCCCAAACTCCAACTGTATATGCTTTAGAAGGGGCCCGCACCCTGTAATAGTGGTATAATAGGTATATACTAGGGCCTTAATATATTCCTTATAGTCACTATTACAGGGTGGGGGCAGCTTCTAATATATGCTACAGTAGGGGTCTGGGGATTCAGCCGGTCCCTGCGCATGGACCCTGTTTCTTCTTCTCTGGGGATATTCGATCAAGGCTTCGGTGCTCCCAGAGAGCCCCAATTAAATCATAATATGAAGCCCCTTGCAGTGTAAGGTATATAGCTTAATTAAGGGGTATTGGGCTCTCTGGGCGGCAGATGGCTTGCACGTAGGGGCCTAAGTACGTGGCGGGCGCCCTATGCGCCTGCTACCAAGCAATTTAACAATACTATTGTTGGGGGTTCCTGTATATGCCCCAAAACCCTATTCCAATTATTAAGGCCAATATATAAGTTCCTTAGTGGATACACTTTACGCTTTTTGGGGATAATATTACCCACTAAAGAACTAAGAGCCTACACTTTTCTGGGCCTTATGAACCCAGCAGCTAAGCTGCATTAGAGGGCCGCGATGTCAGGGCGGCGTTGAGGCTCCAAATCCTGGCGCCTCACCGAACTTTCTTGGAATCCCGGAACCCTAAACCCTAAATCCTAAACCCTCATCTTAGGTGTACTTAGAAATAATTTTTAATTTTTGGGTATTATAATCCCTAAGAAGCGGCTAAAATTATAATTTTTGCTACGGTTCTAAGTTCAGTATAGTCATCCCCAAACCATGATCCCTAAACCTTCATCCCTAAACCCTAAACCCTAAACCCTAAACCCTAACCCCTAAACCCTAAACCCGAAACCCTAAGATTCGCGGTCAACCCAAAGCCTGACACAAACCCCAAAGCCCTTGAAGCCCGACATCTAAACCGCCTAAACCCCTTAAAGCTCAAAAACCTGAACCCGTTTAAATCCTCCTTAAGCCCTAAAACCATAAATCCTAAGCCGTTTATAAATCCTAAGCCGCATACGCCTTTAACAAATCCTAAGCCCTAAACCCTAAAGCCCTTTCATCCTAAGCCCTAAGCCTTTAGAGCTCAGAACCTTCCGCTTTCAGGCTACCGTGCCTACGTGGGCTCCCTGAGCCCAGGCGCGACTTTCGGGGTGCCGACTGGAGAACCACAGGGGTTTAGGGTTTAGGGCTCATGTCAACAGTGATGATTCTTTCTTGGGAGGTTTTGCGCGTTATGGGCTTAGGGTTTGGGGCTAAATTTGGGTTTCGATTACATCGGTGACGATTGTGATAGGTTTTCGGGCTTACGGTTTAAGGTTAAGCGTTTTATGGAGTGCTGCAAGGATCATGATAGGAGTTACTATAACTGTGACAATAGGGGGTCTGATAGGGATTACGATGAGCATGAACATTATAGGGCTTTGATTGGTATCATACTAGGGGTACTTTCAAAACCATTATGGGGACGCTGAGGCTCTTGAAGGGACTACTAGAGTCACGTTGGATTTCGTTGTGAGGGTACCGTAGGTGCCATTTTGCACCAAGCGTGGCTGCGTCGATCGCCCTTCGACTGTCCTTCAAAGTATGCAGGCTTGGCAAGCAGAATGCCAGAATAATCCGGAACCCTGACAGAAACTCTTCTAATCTAGTCCCTGTGTAGCTATCAAGGCCCCTATCATTTGTACCTTTTCAGTCCCTTTGACACCATAGCAACATATACCCGAAACCTTATTCCAGCTGTTGAAGCTCCTATACTAGGAGCATCTAGGAGCTTTTGTTCCCCAAACCCCTAACCCTAGACAGCCCGATTCAAGAAGATGAATGCATGCGCTACACCTGCCCTTTCACAAACGCAGGCTCCACGGTAGCCCTTTCTGAAGCCCCAAACCCCCTAACACCCCTAAACCCTTAACGCCCCTAAACCCCCTAAAACCTTTAAACCCCTAAGCCCGAAACCCTAAACCTGTAAACATAAACCCCTAAACCCCAAGCCCTAAACCCCTAAACCCCAAATCTTAAAATCCAAAAAACCCTAAACCCCTGAAGCCGCCCCAACCCCTCCATATCCGGAGCTCCTCTTCGACTCGTGGCTTTCCAGGCCTTGCCGGGCTAGCGCTGTCCTATGCCATGAGCATGCCGAGGGACCCCCGCTTCTTCGAATGTTTTGGGTTTTGGGTTTTGGGTTTGGGATTTGGGGTTTGGGGTTTGGGGTTATGGGGTTATGGGGTTATGGGGTTATCGGTGTAGGGCATAGGCGGTATAGGTAGAGTTTAGGGTTTGGGGTTATGGGGTTATGGAGTTCTTTGGTGTTGGGGTTTGGGGTTATGGGGTTTGGGGTTTGGGGGTATGGGGTTTGGGGTCTGGGGTTACGGGGTTATGGGGTTACGGGGTGTAGGGTATAGGCGGTATAGGTTTTCTAGGATTTTCAGGGTGGTGGTGAGCCCGTCCACTGAACAGATTCAAGAGGAGAGTGCCAGAGAGAGCGGCAGGACCTGATGTATCTCTCGCGCCGTTGGGCCAGCATGGAGGTTGAGTTCGTGTCCATCGTTGCCTGGCTGAGAGGGTTCTGATGAATCCTAATCGTCTTATCCCCGGGCCCTTCTCAGTGGATTCAGGGTCTTGTCCCAAACTTTGAGATTCGGCATTTTGTCTGAATGGGACTTTCTCCGTCTTCTTCGGATCCCGATTCTGACAGTCTTGCGGTGTCCTGGGCCCCAGGAGCGGATCATGGAGTATGCGCGCTTGCGGACGGAGGAGGAGGCGGACGGCACGGAAGTTGTCCTTTTGTTTCGGGTTCCGGGGTTTAGTTTTGGTAAGGATGCGGTGTGTGTGTGTGTGTGGATCAGTTGCAGTGGAAGATGTGATGAAGCAGAGCCTTAGGGGTACTTAGAAATGAATTTCTAATTTTTGGTTATTATAATCCTTAAGAAACAGCTAAAATTATAAGTTTTGGTAGGGTTCTAAGTTAAGTATAGTTATGAAGCAGAGCATGTGCAGCAGGCCGGGAGATTCATCGCCACGACTTACCGACCTCGACTCGCAAACTTACACACCACAGCCCTGAACTTGGAAGGGTATAGGGATCGGAGCCATTAGTAATAGTGTTTCCTTATAGTGCCTCCAGAAAACTGGTACAGCATAGGCCCTGCATATTCGCATCTTGAGCCAAGGGTTCAAGCCTGAAAAGCCCGCGTCTCTGGAGGCCGCGCCATCGCTCGGCGCTTCTGCAACGGCGCCAGCATCCGTTGCGGTTTTCGCGCAGGCCACTCTCATCTTTGGCCTTGAGTCTAAGGAGGTTTTTTATTTTTATCACGGTTTCATAGGAGTCAGAATAGTTTTAGATTCCTGGGGTTCCTAGTGATGATAGTGATACTGTAATGGTTGCGGGCTTCGGAGTTTGGGTTTATAGGGTGTAGGGTATCAGGATAAAAGCGTTTAGGGCTTTAGGGTTTTAGGGGCTTACCCGTTTTGGGCACAACCGGCCACCCCGAACCTCATCTCAGATGAGTGCCCCTTGCCGAGAGGATCTCTATCTCCAGTACGATTCAGACTCACCTCTCGTCTTCAACGGGCTCTCGTCCCTTGGGCTCAGTCAGTCAAGGCTTGCAAGACTTGGGCGCCACCCTGAAGGTAATGTAGGGGCCTTAATAATTACAGTAGGGTTTTGGAGCCCAATGTACTATATCGTAATTAAGCTCTCGTCCCTTGGCTTACGGTTAGTAGGGAATGGAATATTGGTAGTAATAGTAGTTATAATTGTACCCCATTCCTCCATTCCCTACTAACCAAAGGTAAGTTGGGCTCAGTCAGTCAAGGAAGGACGGGTTTCATGAGTCGTTGTCTCGCTGGTACGACAGACGTCTTCAGCAGTTCTGCGGAGCCTCTGGCACGACCTTCCGCCCCTGCAGCAGCGTGGTCCCTGTAGAACCAGAGTCGAGCGCACTTCCCAGAGACTCCCAACCCCATTACCTTAAGTTACAGGGATCCTTGCTAGGATTTGAGGTACAATCCTTATACCCAGAGAGCCCAGTACCCCTTTATTTAAGGAATATAGCTTAAATCATAATATGAAGCACCTTGTAATTTAAGGTATATCGCTTAATTAAGGGGTATTGCGCTCTCTGGGTAAGTAAAGGGTCTTGGAGTCTCCTGGTCTGCCCGAGGCTTAGCATTCCGCGCGGCGCTCGCGCGGCATTGGTCGGGCGCACGGGCTGCGGCAAAAGCAGCTTTCTCTCTGCGACGCTTGCCTGATCATTAAGTTAAGTAATATGGCCAGAAACTATTAAAGTGGCTATGTGTATATATATATATGTATGTATATATATACACATATGTATATACACATCTGTATATATATATACACATCTGTATATATATATATATGTATGTATATATACATATGTATGTATGTGTATATATACATATGTATATGTATGTGTATATATACATATGTATATGTATGTATATGTATGTATGTATATATATATATATATATACACATATTCATTTATGTATATATATACATATATATATATATATATGTAGATTGATAGTTATTAGGTATATGTACTTATATAATTAAGAGTATAAGTCTGGTGGCCGAGTTTGTGGGGCTCCCGAAATCGCGGTTTCAGGAACATCACAGCAACAATGCGATAAGGGTTGTGAAGTGCAGTTGAGGGTTTAGGGTTTAGGCGTTCAGGGTTGAGGGTTTAGGGTTAAGGGCCAGTGCCAAGGATCATCCCTGACATGTTTCGGATTCTTCCGGACACTGCGGCCACAGACCGCAACAGCTGGAGGGTACGAGAACTCGAAGATCGTCTCGCAAGTTCCAGGCCCGCAGGCCCCGTTAGTTCATGATGCTCTTCCACGGCTGTTAGACTGATACAGCCCGAAACCCTAAGACCCTAAACCCGAAAGGCGTAAACCCCAAACCCTAAAACCTTAAATCTTAATCCTTGAGCCCTTCACCCCAAACCCAGATACCAAAAGGCCCTCTCAAAAAAGAAAAGTCAGCCCAAAAGCCGGGTGGGACACAGCCCAGAGAGCCCATACCCCTTAATTACGCCATACACCTTAAGTTGTAAGAGGTCTCATATTATGGTTTAAGCCATAGTTAAGGGGTATTGGGCTCTCTGCGAGGATCGTTCGCCTCTATCCGCTTCAAAAGGGACATCTTCAGGTCCATGGCCCGGGGGCTCAGCACTGAAGGAGGTTTAAAAGCCTGGGCTCTGGATTTTTTGGGGTTTAGGGTTCACGGAGCTTAGTTTTTTTTCGTACCCGTTCCATGAATGCTCAGAAACTGGGTGGGCTGTGGAGTACCATACTTTCATACGTTTTTGGGCACCTGTTACTTAAACGGAACCAGTATGAAATAACAGTCTATACTTTTTTCTGCCTGGTTACTGTTGTAGGGTTTAGGGTTTAGTTTTTTTCGTTCCTGTTCCATAAAGGAACCATTATGATCAAAGGCTGGTCCAGTTGATGAATGCGATGCCGGGGTTTAGGGTTGGGGTTTGAGGTTGGGGGTTTAGGTCCTCGGATGTCGTCTCAAGAGACTCCATAAGATCTTAGTTGAGCCCATGACAGTAGCCAGGACCCTTTGGGTAATAAGGATGGCGAAACTTGAGGTCCGGTCCAGAATTTCCCAGAGAGCCCAATACCCTTTCATTAAGAAATATACCTCAAGTTATGAGGGGCTTCATATTATGATTTAAGCTATATTCCTTAATCCGGGTATTGGGCTCTCTGGTTAGAGTCTGTCTCCCCTTCGTTCTTTTGGTCCTCCCCCCTAAGAAAAGGAAAATAGGCTCAGCCCAGAGAGCCCCATAACAGTTAATTAACGAATAGACTTTGAATCATGATATGAAGCTCCTTACATTTTAAGGTATGTGCTTAATTAAGGGGTATTGGGCTCTCTGGGCAGAATGAAGCCAAGGGTTGTTGAGTATCAGTCTGACGGGCTCATATGCAACATCAAGCCCTCTAGCACCCTTCTACAACCTGCTACAGTAATTACAGTATGAAGCCGTCTACCATACCTCATAAAGCCCGATCTTGGAAAGTCGTCTGAAACCGCAATAGCAACACGTATAAGGCCCCATATTATAGCCCTTATACATATCCCTATGGAACTCCTCACAAAACCCTATAGAACCCCTTGTGAAACCCGACAAAACCCTAAATCTCCCAAAGCCCTAAAGCCCTAAAGCCCTAAACCCTCAAACTGTAAACCCCTTCTAGATCCCTTTAAGGAACCCTTTAAGGATCCCTTTAAAGGAAGCCCTAAAGCCCAAGCTCCAAGTCAGAGCTGATAGGCCGGGACGTGCACAGCGTCTCTTTGGCCGCGCTGCGGTCGACCGTGCGGGTGCTGCTGCAGGAGGGTTTAGGGTTTAGGGTTTAGGGGGAGCCCTGGAAGGCATAGGATTATGTATGAACCCCACAAGGTTCAAGGTTACCTATTCTGCAGTGTGGCTGCAGACTGCTGCAGGATCTTCTGCCGGGGTTTTCTGGTTTTCAGTGCATCCGGGCGTCGGGGATTTGTGTCTGGTTCTTAGTATAGGGAATGGGGGAATGGGTTATTGGGGAGTTTTTAGGGGCTACTATAGGGCTCCATTCCCCCATTCCCAACTGAGCACCAGGGGGAGGAGCCTGGGAAAGCACAAGAGACAAGGGTCAGGGACCCCAAAAAGGACATAAGCATAAGCATTTTACAGGGACTTTAGTGGGGTTCACTACAAGGGCTTATATGGGATATCCCCATCTTTATTTTTGCTTCTGTGCTTTATTGGGACCCTGAAGGAGGGTTGGTAAGGGGTCGAGGCTATAGGGTTTAGGGATCTAGGGCCTGCCGGAGCCATGGAAATCAGGGGTTTAGGGTTTAGGGGTTTAGGGTTTACGGTTTTAAAGTTTAAAGCAATAGACAGTGTTCTACAGAGGTTTTTGTAGGGTTCTGTCTGGGCTCTACAAAGGGTACTTTTTAAGAGCAACAGACGAGGGGGTTTTGTAAGGGTTCGTAAGTCTTATAAGGTTTGAATAAGGGTGTAATCCAGGTTGTTGAAGGTGCTCTACAGTTTTTTTTGTTTGGTTTGAAACAAGGGCTTCGGGTTGGGTTCGGCGCTTCGGTGCTTTAGGACTTAGGGTTTCCTTGTTTGGGGGTTTGCGTGTCTCAGGGTTTAGGGTTCAGTGTAGGAGTTAAGGAAAGAGTTTGGAGGGTTTGATGCTCTTCGGATTGCGTGCAACCAGGATCCGATCTTCTTCACCGGCACCATCCGTGTCTCGGATTAAGTCGGATAGTTTCTCTGCCGGGACTTCAGTGTCGGCGTGGCGAGGTCCAGCGTCGCAGCATGACTCAGGATTTTGGGATGTTTTGGGGAGACATTGCAGACAGGTTCCTAAACCCTAAACCCTAAACCCTAAACCCTGGAACCCCGGCCCGACGCCCCGCCAAGGCTCAAACCTGCTCTCTCAGCCTCCGCGAGCCACAGCGAGTGGTACACAGGCCAGCTAATTGTCTTCATTTCTTTGCATGCAGAGGGCTCGCACGTGTCCCAGATAGTCCCGACTGTATTTGGGAGTTTCCGAAAATTAGGGGGACCTCATTCTGGGGGTCTTATAATTATAAAGATCCGACTATTTAGGGTACTATGTCAGGGTCCCCCATTTTCGGAAACTCCCATTTTTAGTAGCAGGTCCTTTTTTGTGGGTTCTTATCATCAACCCTAATATGAAGTTTAAAGGGACCCTATACAACAAAGTAGGTTTTGGTAGGTTAAGGTACTCTAATTCTTCAGCCCCCAAAATGGATGCGCCTGACCTGCCAGGCGAGGCACAGTGGTGAAGAGGAGGCGGGCCGCTGACTTTGGAAAGCTTCTTTGGCTTTGGGGGTTTAGGGTTTCTGTCAGGGATTTAAGGTTCAGGTTTGGGGGCTTTAGGGTTTCGGCCAGGGATTCAGAGTTTATAGGTTTTGGGGTTTCAGGGGCTTGGTTTCGGTTGTTTAAGGGTTTGAGGATTTAGGGTGGGGCTTGTCATTCGTAGTGTTATCGAAGCCCGCTGTGGGTGCTTTCGAGTTCTGCTAGATCCAAGATCCTTCGGCTCGCTCCTTTGCTATAAACCAGGACCCGGCTATGATTGCTATGGTGATGAGGCATCGTTTTTGTATTTCGTTTCGTGTTTCTACTATGACTACGACGATTTTTCTCGCTATTACTATTCTTATTGTTCTTAGCATTACTGAATTGGTTTCTTTGTTGTTATTCTTACTTGTTATGACTACTTATTATTGTTACCATCACGGTTGCCACTTTGTCACTATGCTTACCATGATTCTTCTTGTCGTACCTTCTGTTAGTAGGGAATGGAAGAATGGGGTACAATTATGACTACTATTACTACCATTCTTCCATTCCCTACGAACCAGAGGTAAGTTGTTGCTATTTCCGTTGCAGTTCTCGTTGTGCAGACCTGGCAGTTGCCAGGCCCTGTGGAACTGCCTCCGCAAGGCGTCCTCGGTGGGGATCTATCGGTTTCCAGGTAGAAGAGCATCCATTACTGCCACCCATACACTAAGAGTCTATAATAGGGCTACTGGAAAGGTCCTCATATACTTATATTATGAATATTATTCAACTATTACTGAGTGGGGGGCGTACCCACAGCATCCACCTACCACCCTACGCCCACAACCCTAGGTTGGGTTAGGGTTTATAGGATTTGGGATGCAGCGCTTGGGCTGCAGGGTTCGAGCTCCGGGCTTAAAACCTAATAAAACCCCAAACCAATCTCTTTGCAATCGGTTGCTGTTGCGGTCTGGTCTGCTGTAAGTCTGGCTTTTCAAGGGTCAGCGGTTTGGGGTTTCGGGTTGGGGCTTTAAAGGGTCAGCCGGCTGCAGGGTTGGTCATGATTTTTCTTCTAATCAATTAGTACGTAGGTTTGAGCATGGAAGGATCCTTCAGCTTAGCAATCAATGATGCGTGAGGCACTCTAGTTAAAACACACGCCCTAAACACCAGATCCTGAACCCAAAAAACCGAAACCGGAAACGAAGACTCGTGGGTCATAGCCGGCAAAGTTACGACTTCTCCGCCTCAACGCCTTCTAGGAGGGTCGGGGGACTTAGTAACTGGTTATTTTAAGGACTTATATATTTACCATAACCCCAATTAGGGTCCCTTAGGGTACTTATAAGTCTTCTTACTACCTACTTATTAAGTCCCCCGACCCTCCAATTTGGGACCCCGATGTTCCCTTCTACGTAGTCTGCGTGTCGTTGTATACAGTATACCAAAGTCAAACATCCGCGGGAAATCTTGCTGTGGGTACTGCTCTTGTCAGTCTTGTTATTGCGGGTTGTTATCGCTGTTATACTTACGACTACGGCATGATGCAATTTCATTGCCATTCTTCTTAGCATTACAAGTTACCCAGTACTGCTGATGGACAAAATCCTGCATGACCTTAAGGAATCTAAACTATGGGAACTATGGTATATTCCTTATAATGGGTGATGCAGGATTTAGATCATCAGCGCTAATACCCTGAACCCTAAACCCCCCTATAGATCCCTTACAGGAACCCCTTAAAGGTACCCTTATAGATCCCTTTAAAGGAACCCCAGGCTTCATCAACACTAGGAGTACTGGGCTCTCGGAGCTCCGATGCAAAGCCCAAGCTCGGCCGAGAGAGGCTGGCCTGGAGGACCGCATCGCTTCGCTGGCGAAGGGTCTAGATGTCGAGGCCTCACAGTTTAGGGCTGGGTTTAGGGGTTTAGGGGTTTAGGTTTTAGGGGTTTTAGGGTTTAGGGTTTAGGGGTTTAGGAGGGTTTAGGGTTAGGGGTTTAGGGTTTAGGGTTAGGGTTTAGGGTTTAGGGTTTGGGGCTTTGGGCCCGGAACCCGAACTCCGAAGCCTATAAACCCTGAGCCCTAACCTCGGATGTAGGACTTTAGCTCTGAGGGCTTGGCTCCCTGAATCCGACAATCCCAGTTGCCCAAACTGGATCGCTGCTCTAGACTGGCTGGCTTCTTGCAAAACTAGGTTCCTGAGTAGTACTCTTTTGCCCCTTGTTCTTTCTGGGTTCCCTTATTAAAGCCAAAGAGTAGGAAAAAGGGCGCCCTTATTATTAAGGGGCCACCCAGGATCCTAGTCAAGGAATTCAATTTAGGTTGCCAATGCTTGCCGTACCAAGGACATGCTACTATGCACTACAGATCTCCATCTTGGTGACGTCAGAGCCCCTAAACCCTAAACCCACACCTTAAACACCAAACCCTTTAGCCCCTAAACCCTAAACCCTACATCCTAAATCCTATACGCCCTAAACCCTAACCCCTGCACTCTAGAGCCGAGTTGTCGCCAGGTGGAGGAGAACGGATTGAACTTCAGCCAAGGCGAGAGTAGCTCGGTTGCAGCCTTTGAAGGCACCGGTTTGGGGCAAAGGGTTTTTAGGGTTTGGAGTTGTAGGGTTTAAGGTATAGTTGTAGGGTTTCGGCTTCAAAGACATAAAGGAGCCTTGTTGGTTCCCTTTGCCCCGGCTTCAGCACAGGAAGAGAAGCTAATGTGGAGGATTCAGGGTCTAGCGTTTAGGTTTTAGGCTTTGGAAAACCCTGTACCCTAAATCCTTGCTGCAAATGGGGCTTGGAGAATAGTACGGTAGATTTACAGTGAACCCAGAAAGTTGGAACATAGATTTAGGATCATTGGTGCTGGGATCCTGCATACTTGACCTTAAGGGCAGGAGGATACTGATGTTGCCACTTTCTTGCCTCTACTTTATATAGGGCTTCAGCACCCCAAGCAAAGTAGGCCCAGACACCCGGAGCCTTTTCTTGCTTCTGGAAGCTTCTTGAGTGTCTTGGAACTCCCTGAACAAGCCCCAAATCCCTGCACCCTAAAGTCCAACACGAAGCCCGAAACCCGAGAGTCTAGCCCTAGAGAACCGCAAACCTGAGACACCAAGCTCTGCACCAAAGAGCCCCTGAGAGGGGCGGTAGTATTATTGTATGGTGGCTAGCGGTATTATGATTACGATTAGGGTTATTAAAATCGTTACTGCTGCTGTTAATCGCATTATCATCGCTACCATTATGCTTGCTAGTATGACAGTTATCACTGTTTTTCCTACTCATCTTCTTGCTGCTGTTGTTGTCGTTGTTGCTGCTTCTGCTGCTGCTGTTGTCGTTGTCGTCGCCGTCGTCATTGTTGTTGTGATCACTAGCATCATGGCTTGTGCCCCCTGCCCCAACCCCCTAGACCCTAAACTCCAAACCCTGAAGCCTAAACCCGAAAAACCCTAAACCCCAAAACCTGAAACCCTAAACCCTACGACCCAAAAAAAACTACGACCCTAAACCCATCATTTTGTGTATTCTCTCCTGTCGCCGAGGGCAGCTTCTTTGCCTCGCGCGCGTCCTCATGGAGCGGCCAGAGGAGTCCGGGCCTCTGCAGCCCAGAGGCTTGTAAGGCTTCCTTTAAGGGTACCCAGAGAGCCCAATACCCCTTAATTAAGCAATATACCTTAAATTATAAGGGGCTTCATATTATGATGTGAGCTATATTCCTTAACTGAGGGGTAACGCTGCCTCTAAGGGGTTCCGTTTCTTAGGGCTCCTTCTTAAGGGTTCCTTTAAGGGCCCCAGAGGGTGCCTTTAAGGATTCCTGTGAAAGGTTCCTTTGAAGGGTTCCTTCTTAAGGCTTCGCAGCTTCCTTAGGGTGCCTTTAAGGATTCCTTTGAAACGTTCCTTTGAAGGGGTTCCTTATTAAGGGCTCCTTAATTAGGGTTCCTTCAAGGGTTCCTTATTAATGAAGGGTTGCTCCCCTTCAAGGGAACCTATGAGGGTTCCTTTCAGCTTCCTTTGAAGGGTTCCTGTCTGAGGGTTCCTTTACAGGGTTCCTTTCAGGGTTCCTATAAAGGAACGACAAGGGGTATCATTGTTCAGGGTTTAGGGCCGATAAAAGCAAGACAATGGATTGCCACGCTTGTTCCTCGAGCGGTTTCATTCAGGGTTGCTATGGGGGTAGAGAGGTCTGTGTAGCGTGCAGTAGTATTCCTTTTCTTCCTTAAGCCTTGCAGAATTATACACTGTATAGTTCTACTACAGGGTATTCATTCCTATTCTAGTTCTTCAGTCTTCAGGCCTTTAGAGCGTGAGGGCGACCAGGGGCCGGTGGCCGGGTGCTTGGGTCGCATTGGAAGGAGCTTCGGGTTTGGGAACATGAGTTTTAGGGATTAAGAATCCGGATTAAGAGTTGAGAGCGACGGTTATCAGGTTTTAGGGTTCAGGGTCAGTCTCGCTCGGTTGAAACGTACCGTTAGTGTCGAGGCACAGAAGCCCGAAACTCCGAAACCCCTGAACTCCTTTATCCGAAAAGCCCTCATGGACTCTACTTCCCCAAGCCCTGAAGGCTACACCCTCAAAGCTTGAACCCTCAAAGCCCTTGAAACAGGACCGGACCGTTAAATCCCTACTGCGGTAATCCCCATCAACTCTCAACCTTAAGCCCGAAACCCTGAACCCTAAATCCGTTAAACCCTAAGTTTGAAGCTAACCCCTAACCTAACCTAAACCCAACGCCATGATCTGCCCAGGGACGAGTCGCTTGGGCCGCCGCTGCTGCTCTGCGATGAGCCGACTGCCGCTTGCGACTTGACCACGGCATCTTGGCTTTCGGGGGCGTTGAAATTTTCACCCGACAGTATTCGGATGGCTCCAAGACCAAAGCCTAAGCCCCAAACACTATGCAACTGTCGGACATACACAACTCTCAACCCTAAACCCCACGTGTCCAGGACCCAGGCAGGTTGCGCTGCGGGGCCGACCTGTGAATGGAATCAACTGACCTATAGTCTCCTTAGGAAACAGTTTTCTTATTTTGGTTCATATAAAACCCGAGCGAATATTCAACATCTTTTCTTGTTATGGTTCTAGGGGTTGTGTAGTGAACATGCTGCACCCATCAGCTGCTCTCCATCAGGGCTTAGGGTTTCGGACTTTAGGGGTTTAGGGTCTGGGGGGTTTCAGGGTTTACGAGCTCAGGGTTTTAGGGGAGTTCTTTAGGAGAAGAGATGTAGGTAAACGTTGCGCCGCAACTCTCTGCTTGAGTTTGCGTGGCGCAATGTGCAGAGCCATGCATGATGATGCAGTTGAGGACCGGCACATACATGACACCCTTCTGCACGGTTTGGACAAGGACAGGGTTTGATGAGTCCGGGGTGGGTTTGAGATTAAGATTCAATATGCTCGTTTGTAGGGTTGGATCCGCGGGGGCTGGATCAGTGGGCTTGGCAAAAACCAAAGTTATCAAAATCAGAAGTCAACCTGAACAAAGACTTATTGGATACGTTACGACACGGTAGGTTTGTCCAGAATTAATGTAACTGGAGATTTGCAGACACTGAAAATTGTTGAGAAAACCATGAAAAAATGTAGTATTATTTCTGTCCAAGCCGGTGTGTGAACAGAGCAACCGGAAGCTGTGCCATTCCAGTGACCCCTTGCACCGACATTGGCACGTCGGGCAAGGTCACACTAGATGGCTGGCCTTTGTGTCCCCAAGCAAGGAAACTTGATGGCTCTTCGGGTGAGAGCCCGGCAACACCAACAGGTTTTCGCAAGGCTGAGGACGTCTGTGCAAGAGCCGGCAGAAGCTGCAAAGGTGTGACTCCCAAATTGTCAACAAGAAATTGTTCCTCAAGTGTGTTCACTTGTGCCATGCCACTGACCCCTTGCACCGACATGGGCACATCGGGCAAGGTCACAGTGGATGGCATCTATTGTTTCCTCACACTGCTCAGAACAACCTGTCAACTTAAACAGGTTGCTGCAAGGTTGAGGAAATCTTGAGTCAGCATGGCATTGCTTGGCAAGGTTGACGATTCGAATTGAGGAAATCTTGAGGAATCCTCCTCAAGTGGGGCAAAGAAGGCAAGAACGACGTCCAAGGCCCTGATTTGCCGGCGCATACTCATTCACTGAAAGAGCCATATCAATTCTGTTCCTCCAAGTGTGTTCACTGAGACAGCCACATCGACATAAGGCTGCAAGCAAATCAGACTTGTGTCTCAATTGTTATGCAACCTTCTCATCAGTCATCGCACTGTTTTACCTGTGTTGCTGCATGGCCTGCTGTTGCTGTTGTGTCACAGCATTCACACCCCAAAAACCAGTCACAGCAGATTGGCTTGAATAATAAAAAGCATGCAGCTCAGTAAGCTATGAAACGTATTTTGGCTGACGAAGCGGATCGTCACAATAGATTCCGGACAATCTGCGCAACTGCTTCCCCGAACATCGAAGTGTATTCCCCACTAGCCTGTACATCTGCTGGCACACCGGTGAAACGGCCGTCTTCGCCTCGGTTTACCAGACCAATGAAAGCATTATGATCTGGTTTGGGCCTGGCCAGGTTCTCAAAATGAAACCCAGGCAAATGCCACAGTTGCAAGGGCTTCACTGACTTTCCGTTAAAGGCACCCATGTAGGTGCAAGTCTTTTCGAAGCCACAAAAGGATAGAACTGTTTTGACACACTCGAGGTGCGGCATACAGGAGCTGAGGGGCTGTTCCACCACAGGGCAGCACTCACATGCCCATCCCAGGAAAATCCCAAGTGAGCAAACAAGGGCCTGACAATTTCCCTGCAATACAAAGTCCCGCTCAGTCCATGCGCCTTCCCAGCCGTTGCTTTCAGCACGTTGGGAACGAAATGAGCACATAATGACAAAAGAAGAGCACGGAGTGCCCCACCAATGCAAAGCCTTCTTCTCACACGCTGTGGCTGCATCCAGAAACAAACGCAACCCTTTCGCTAGCAACATGTTGTGTTCGTCATTGTAGAGTATGTCAAAGCTGCACCCACGGAGACCGGATTCGATCAATTTCTTCGAAAGTTTGGCGCTCCCTGCATAGTATTCAATGTATTGCAGCAACCCCGCACATTGATGGGGTCCCACATCGATTGAAGCTGCTTCAATCTTGGCTCTGTTGTCATAGCTACGGCTAATGATGCACATCAGCTGACACTCGATGGTTCGGTTCTTCAATGCGGGATAAGCCAATCCAATCAGCCCATGCCATTTCATGGCCACTCTGCCCACATTGAAGTCCTGGTCGTAGCGCAAGAAATTTTGCACCAAAATCCTTGCAACCATGAGCCTGTGACACCAAGGCTCTGTGGACCTGGCCAGCAAGATCAATTGAGGATGATGATAAGTTTATGTAGTATTACATTAATTAATGAAAAATTCAAATTATAACAAAATCTGTGACCCATAACACTTTGAACAGACTCCGGCCTTGGGGAGAAAGACAAGGAAGCAAACGGAAGGAAATGCGAACATTGCAATCGCGATGTTTGCTCGAAGACGTCCTCTACCCAAGTGTCAAACCGATCATCAATTTCATCAGTTCCTGTAACTGTATCGGTAAAATTCAAGGCAGGAAGAGTACACGGGCGCTCCACTGATCTACCTCCCAACTCAAATGACTCTGCAGCATTCTTTTTCCTTTTGCATTTCTTGCGTGCTGGCTTCACAGGCCCAGCACTACCACTGAAGACCAGCGATGATCCCAGCACATGCTGGCACGGCCACTGGAAATTGGACATGTTGGTGATTCACTGACATCAATACATTGATTTGTTGTCCCACATAACTTTAAACCATACCTCTGGTCCAACTTGAGCAACAAATGGATTCAATGCTTGCCTGGCATATCAAGCACATTCCACAAACTAACAGGACACAATGTCAGGAAGGCTTGTTTTTGCTGATCGCTTTCTCCCCGAGCAATCTGCAGCATAACTATGGTGAGACTTCATGATTCATGTCATGTCATCTTCAATTGCACACTTCAGGCATTCAGCAACTGTAATTGCAACGTAACTGTAAAGACTCAATCACAGAATGAACAGCAACTGCGCACAAGCTGAAGCCAAAATTGTGAATCGAACATGTTGCCGCTATGACAGCAGGAGCAGATTCACACACATTGGACTCGGCTGGATGAACTCACTCCCTGTGACTTCTTGAATCGACCGAAGACTTGAAGCTAAGAACACGATACTTGCATACATGACATTGACAGAAATCTGCAACCTGCTGACATGTTTTCCCCTGTGATGTGTTTATCACCAAAAAAAACTGAAGAGGCTACTTGGCATACTTTGTGGGCGGAGGCATTGCGTCGATAATCGGGGCAAGGCGTTCCAGGACAGCCTCAGGGATAGTGCCAGGCTGACAATGAGGCGGCAGTTGCCTTTCAGGTTTGGCCTTCTCCCACTCTGTCCACGCCCAGCGATGCACTTGAGCCAGTGCTTGCTTCCAGTCTGATCTGTCGTTAGCAAAGCTTTTGCTGCAAGACTTTTTCCCCTCACTTGACACATACTGTTTTGTCATGATCTCGGCTTTGAAGCGATGATCGTTGAAGCTGAGA